AAACTCATGGAATATTCAACAGAAAGCGTGAACCCTAATGTAAACTTTGGACTTTAGTTAATATTGTATTGACCTTGGTTTATTAATTATAACAAATGTACCATGCTAATCCAAGATATTAATAATAGGAAGATGTATGTGTGGTGGAGAGGAGAACATGGGATTCTCTCTACTTTCCACTCGTTTTTTTTCCCGTAAATCTCAAACTGTTCTATTTACTTATTTGTTAATCCTCACTCAAGGATATTTTTTTCCATTAATTTTTAGAGAGAGTGGGAGGGGTTGTGGAGAGAAACATCAATGTGAAAGATACATCGATTGGTTGCCTTCCACATGTGCCCTGACTGGGGCTGGGGTTCAATCCTGCAACCCAGATATGTGCCTTTGACCCAGAATCGAACCCTTGACCCTTCAGTGCAAGGGCCAATGCTCTAACTGCTGAGCCACATCAGCCAGGGCTCAAACTGTTCTTAAAAAATGTTTATTGATTGAAAAAAACAGTACTTGATAAAGTCGTACACATGTACACACATGCTTATACATATATATACATTCAATTGCTGTATAAAGTACTCTTACTTAACAGGTAGAGCACAGCTAATATTTTTCTAAGCTGTTTTTCAGCTCTTTTGTTTCTGATGTATAAACAAAATATTTTATTTGATATTTGAGGGTTTTCTTCTCCCCTGAAGTCATTTATTGAGTGTGTATTATTTGTCAGATACTTTTAGGTATTTTTATAACCTGTCTCATTTAGTTTGAAGTAGATACTATTCACCTCATTGCATAGGTGAGAAGGCTGTGGCCTTCAAGAAGTGGAGCGACAAAGCTGCTTACAGGCATGCCTCAGATACTGAGGATTCAGTTCCAGAGTGTTGCAATAAAGTGAGTCTCAATCCTTTTGATGTTGGAGGGTCTTGCCTTCAGTTTTTTAAAAAGGCAACATCTGTGAAGAGCCATAAAACGGAAGTGCAGTGAAATGAGGTGTGCCTGTACTTGAATCTAGGCATGTCTGAGTCCAAAGCCTGTGTGTGCTGCTGTACGGGCTTTGTAATTACATAGGCATATTTTTTTTTTTTTTTTTTTTTTTTTTATCCTCACCCGAGGACATCCCTCCATTTTTTGTTCAGGTAGAGTGGGAGGGAGAGAGAGGAACAGAGAGAGAGAGAGAGAAACATCGATGTGAAAGGAACACATCGAGTGGCTGCCACCCGCACAACCAACCAGGGCCGGGGACAAACTGCAACCGAGGTACGCGCCCTTAGCGGGAACCGAACCCGGGTCTCTCTGGACCGCAGGCTGACGCTCCAACCGCTGAGCCAAACCGGCCAGGGCCATAGGCATATTTTTTGAAATAGCTAAAGTTTATCCTCTAACAAGTGTGAGTGCCTTTAGAGCAAAAATATTATTGAAAGAGTTTGTGTAGGTGTGAATCTTGAAGGCTCTACTGAATACTTTTGTGATTTTAATTAGGTTATATAACGTCTTTATGCTCTAGTTTCCTTGGTGTGTTAGAGACAGTCTTTAAGATTGTTGTTAAGGCCCTGGCCAGTTTGGCTCAGCAGTTAGAACGTTGGCCTGTGGTCTAGAGACCTGGATGGGTTCCCGCTAAGGGTGCCTACCTCGGTTGTAGTTTGTCCCCGGCCCTGGTTGGTTGTGTGGGTGGCAGCCACTCGATGTGTCTCTTTCACGTCAATGTTTCTCTCTCTCTCTCTCTCTCTCTCTCTCTCTTTTTCTCCCTCCCACTCTTTCTGAACCAAAAATGGAAAAATGTCCTCAAGTGAGGATTAAAAAAAAAAAAGATTGTTGTTAAGGATTAAATGAGATAATGTATGAAAAGCTATTAGAACAGTGCCTGGCACAGACTATGAGTTTAGTCTGTACTAAATGTTAGCTATCAGTAGTGGAATAGATAAAGGAAACTGAGACCCAAGTAACTTAAGTGATTTTCTGAGTCATATACTTTTCTAAGGTCACAATAGCTCTTAAATGGCAAAGTTGAGTTCTTTTATTTGAAGGCTATAATTTTATCCATTTTAAAAAAGAGAAACTGTTTAAAAATGTGTTGCAGTATCTTCCTATCTGCTTACAGTTAACTGTTTTTCTCAATCAGATTGATACAGTAGGGAAAAAGCATTGGGCTTTGATTTAGGTTCTGGACCATGCCTTGTCCCTGATTAATTGTGTGACCTTAATATTTCTGATTGTAGTTCATTTGTAAAATGAGGGGTAGGTGGAATTGGGCCAGATTATTTCATAGTTCATTTTACAAGCACCAACAGAGTACGATTCTGAGATAACACTGCTTTTATTATGAATTCCTGTACTGTGCTATAACACCCTGAGGTTCCCAGAGCTTCTTGATGTATGTGAGGGTGGTTAATCTCTGCTAAGTGATGGAAGAGTACAGTACTTTTATATTGGCCATCCACAGTCTATCTACTATAGCATCAGCATTTGAGCCTTCTGCTTTTTCTGCTTCCAGTTTACTTTTTTAATATGGTTGATTGATTTATTGCCTTTACTTTTTTAAAGAGTGGAGCTTGTGGACTTTGTTTTCAATTCTCAGTTGAACAAATAACAATCTTTTTTGGCTGCCGGATTCACAGCTAAGTATTGAATCCCCTAGAAAAGAGTAGGGTTGGGAATGGGAAATGCCAGAGACTCTAAAGTATGTAGTACAATCTTTCTGTAGAAGGTATGATTTTAGTGACAAAAGAATCTTTGAGATATTTTTTTTTACCATGGGATCAAGTTTTAGGTTCTTTGTTGTATGAAAGGACTCTGTGAGTTGCAGCATGTGTGTGTGCCTGCTTTACCTTGAAGTGATATGTATAAATAAAGTAAGTTTCACTTCTTAGTTCAGTTATATAACGTTCTTTTAAAAATATTTTTTCTTTATTGATTTTAGAGAGAGGAAAGGGGAGAGAGAGAGAGAGAGCGAGCGAGCTAGAAACACCGATGAGAGAGAAACATCACTTGGCTGCCTCCTGCATGCCCCTCACTGGGGATTGGGCCCACAGCTTGGGCATGTGCCCTGACCAGGAATTGAACTGCGCCAACAGTTCTCAACCTGTGGGTCGTGACCCCTTTGGGGGGTCCAACGACCCTTTCACAGGGGTTGCCTAAGACATATTTCTGATGGTCTTAGGAACCGAGACACTGCTCCTCTGTCTTCAGGCGGGTCCACTCACATGCAGATACACCCACACACAACGTGAGGAACTGTATTAAAGGGTCGCAGCATTAGGAAGGTTGAGAACCAGTGGTCTGTGCTCAGTCAGTGAGCCACACCAACTGGGCTACATAACCTTTTTGTTTGTTTGTTTTAGTCATGTTTCACTAGCTTATTTATGGTAGGTTTCATAAACCAGAGTCAGGGAAGTTAGTTACAGGATATGAATAGTTTTGCATGTAGGTTACAGCTGAGTATCATTTGATTATAATCATGGGTCTGTTTTTTTTCATTTTCAGTATTTGGGAGAGTTAAATGTCACACCTGTAACTTTCCTGGTCCCCCCAAATTAAAACAGGATATTTTTTGCCCTGGCTGGTTTGGCGCAGCGGTTAGAGCATCAGCCTACGGTCCAGAGAGACCCAGGTTCGGTTCCCGCTAAGGGCATGTACCTCGGTTGCAGTTTGTCCCTGGCCCTGGTTGGTCGTGCAGGTGGCAGCCACTCAATGTGTCCCTTTCACGTCGATGTTTCTCTCTCTTCCTCTCTCTCCCTCCCACTCTCTCTGAACAAAAAATGGAAAAATGTCCTCGGGTGAGGATAAAAAAAAAAAGGGTATTTTTGTCTTGAAGGGAGTAACTGGATTGTACTAGGAAACTGTTACAAACAAAATAATAAGGGGGATTCTTTATTTAAAGGAATTTAATTTAAAGGAAAGATACTGAAATGAAGAGGAAGCTGTTTCATTGTATGGTGTGTAGCTTATTCCTGATATCCACATAGTTAAAGCATGTGTTGTATTTTGACAGTCATTTGCTAGTATTTTTTTAAACAGCTGTCTTATAATTTAAAAGCGTGTCATCAGTACTCAGAAGAGTTTACTTTTACCCCCGTCTGGAATAAAATCTCATAAAGGTAGAACAAAGAGATGATGAGGCCTCAGGGCAGAAAAATACAGTGGGATCTTGGCCAAGAGTCATCCATGGGTAATTAAGTCAGGATTTAGAGGATATTCAGGAATCTCATATAACAGTGCATAATAGGTTGAGGGGGAAGTAGAATCTCTTAGGAGTTAGGAAACAGAGCCAAAAAAACATTCTGAATTTTTGGCCTAAAAATGATTAAAGAAAAAACTTTGTGCCAGCATATGCTGTCTGGTGGCAATATCAAATTGAAAAGCCTCATGGTTATAATTGATGGTGGTGGTATATTTTCAGGCATCTTTTTTTTTTTTCTTTATTGGTTTTAGAGAGAGAGGAAGTGAGAGGGAGAGAGATAGAAACATCGATGAGAGAGAACATCGATTGGCCGCCTCCTGCATGTTCCGCACTGGGGATCTGGCCCACAACCTGGGCATGTGTCCTGACCGGGAATCAAACTGGTGACCTCTTGGTGCATGGGTTGATGCTCAACCACTGAGGCACACTGGCTGGACTATTTTCAGATATCTTACCTACTTTTTGGATAGGTCTGACTAATACCAGTTTCCAATAGAAAACTCTCAAGGTTAATTGCAACATTGTTGCAACAATAGTAATATTGTGGTGTTGGTAGTCTGTTAATGCATTTATCTCATTGAGAGCAAGTCAGCCAGCTGCCAGCCACACTGTAGTTACCAGTAGTGTTGCTTTTCTGGCCATATCACTTAGACTCTTTCTTGGGCCTAGGCCTTCAAGGGATGTTTTAGCTTTTTGTTTGAAGTGAGGTAGTTTTTCCATTGTAAAGATTGTTTCTTTTTATTGGATAACATGTTTGTAGCTCCACACTCAGATATGAAACTAATTGTAATAAGCATTTTTGAAAAGTTGTTTTCATTTTCTCTTGCAGGTGTAAACCAGAGAGCAGTCTTCAAACTTCTTTGCCGTATTAACTCTGAGCTGTCAGGGGACTCAGGCTTATGAGGAGGTATTGTCACACAAAACAGTGTCTGGTGAAGACGACAAGAAAGAGGGGAAAGGATCGGAAAAAGAAGCTAAAACACGATAGAAAACCATGGTTGGTTATTACTTATGTTTTTTAATTAAGTTACAAAAGATTCCAATAGCTTAAAATTGGAAGTGTTAACAGGGAGGGCAAGTGAAAAACAATGGTGTTAATTTTTGGCTCTAATGCATCAGATAAAGAAGGCACTCACTCTACTATTTAGGCAAAGAAATGAATCAGATTTATTATGAGCCCTTTAAACCACAAGATGGAGCCCCATGAGCCTGCAGGCTATAAATTATTAAATATAAAGGAGGGAATGCTCATAAATAATATTTTCTAATAAAACTGGCATTAGCAAACGGATACAAATGGCTAATGTGACTTTGACCTTGAAATTGTGTAATTTTTTTTTTTTCGTCTTCTACCTGCAGTTCATTTTTTTCCCTCATGGAAATTAAAAATTCGGAGCCAGTCTTTAACTAGTGATATGAATGGTGTAGGAGTTTATAAAATGTGTATTTAACTCAAAAAGCTACTGTTTCCCACATGCTTTTAAAATAATAGGGTCAAGTGTTAAGCGTATCGGGGACACTGGACTGAATATCAAGGAAATCTCACTTTTTGTGAAAGGTTCATATTTCTGAATTTGAGATATTAGATGAGGTCATAACCTCTGGTGCCTAGATTTTTAATTGGTAAAATATGCTGAATTTTTCCTTCCTAGTATTTTGTTTCAAGAGGATGTTGTGTGAATTTTTACCATAGTGTGTAACTGAGAAAAGGCTTAAAAAAGACAAGTGGGGGAGGGGGAAGCACAAAAATATTAATCATTAGTGTGTTTGAAATATGTTGTTTAGTAAATTTGATGATGTTTCTTTAAGTGTTATTTGATCTTTTAAAAACTTGTTCTAAGAATTACAGTTGCTCTTCAGAGAAGAAATTCTAATATTTTAGTTTTGGATAGTGGGGAAAAATGTTGACTTGGGATTTTCTGTCACAAGTTTTATGGTGAGATGTGAAAAATGACACTGACTTGCCCTGGCCGGTTTGGCTCAGCAGTTGGAGCATTGGCCTGCGGACCACAGAGTCCTGGGTTTGGTTACCGCTAGGGGACAGGACCCCCCCCCCCCCCCCCAAAAAAAGGACACTGACTTGCCTGGCCAGTGTTCCTCAGTGGATTCAGTCTTATGGACTAAGAGGTCCCAGATTCGATTCCCAGTCAGGGCACATGCCTGGGTTGTGGGCTTGATCCCCAGTAGAGGGCATGCAGGAGGCAGCCGATGGATGTTTCTCTCTCACATTGATGTTTCTATCTCTCTCTCCCTTCCTCTTTCTCTAAAAAATCAATAAAAACGTATAAAAAAAATGACATTGACTTAATGTTTTCTCCCATGTGAATTATTTGACGAGCTGATTTATCTATTATGGTCTTGGTATTCTTAGTTTAAAGAAATGCTTTATATATTATATTATTGGTCATAGTGGATGAAATTATCTTTTCTAGTTTGTTTGTTAATTAATTAATTTTAATCCTCACCCAAGGATATTTTTCCACTGTCCTTTCTAGATAGAGAGAGAAACATTGATGTGAGAGAGACACACTGATTGGTTGCCTCCTGCACAACCCCAACCAGGGCCAGGATCGAACCTGAAACCAAGGTAATTGTACTTGACTGGGAATTGGTCCGAGGGCCGACACTCCAACTGCTGAGCCAAACCGGCCAGGGTTCTAGTTTATTTTAAATTTAGCTTAGATTTTCTGGTGTAGAAATTTTGTATTTTTATGTAATTTAATTGGTTGGTAGATGGTTTTCAATTTTTCCTATTATATTTCAGATTTGAATGAGGACTTTGTTTCTGCATAGTTCTTCCAATTCAATTTTTTAATACTTAAAAAAATCTATTTGGAGCTTCTTTGGGTAAATAAGGTCACCCTCCAATTTTTTTGTAATGTTTTTATTCCTCTTTTCACCTTAAAAATTTTTTTTAATGTTTTCATTGATTAATTTTTAGAGAGAGAGAGAGGAAGGGAGAGAGAGATAGAGACATCTATGTAAGAGAGAAACATCTATCGGCTGCTTCCTGCACACCTCCTACTGGGGATCGAGCCTGCAACCCAGCATGTGCCCTCACTGGGATTCGAACTGGGACCTCTCAGTCCATGGGACGACACTCAATCCACTGCCACACCAGCTCGTTCACCATTGTTTTATGATGCTTGTCCTGTCACATCCAGTTGACTCTCGGATTTAACTTTGGCAGTCTGTGTTATTTGTGAGAGACACACCAAGGGTTTGTGTACTTAGCAATCTATAATTTTACTATGGTGAGGCCTGTGTGCAGGACTGAGTAATTTAAGTAATTTAGTAGCTCACCATAAAAATGGAAAATCCCAGGTTAACACTTTTTTTTTTCTACCATCCAGAACTAAACATGTTAGTAGAATTTCTTCTCTAAAGAGCAATTCAACAAAGTTATAATCCCTAGAAAAACCTAGCATTTTTAATTTGTTATATGGCTCTTTTGTTTTTTTGTTATTTTGTGATATATGAGTAAATTTCATGAAGTAATTAAAAGGTTTGTGGCAAAAGACTCTAGTTTGAAAATTGGTTGTGGATTTTGAGTAAGAAAGAAATCTAGGTAAAGATGGTTTTTATCTAGAAAAGAGAAAGCTTTTGTGATTGCTTTTAGTTTTTTTTATATGATAATTCAGGGTTTCAACGGATTACTGACCATTTTAGTTTGCTTCATTTTACAGGGAACAGTTATACTGTAGTGTTAATTTACTGGTGTCCAAATTGATATATTTTAAAAATATTGATCAAACAAAAACAAAAGAACACTGATAAAAATTGGGAATATTTTATTTGGTGGTAAAGACTTTAAAACAAATATTTACCATCTCTACTAGTACATAATTTTATGTAAGTAAAGACACTGTAGCAACACTTTAAAAAATAGAATACTTTTGCTTTATGAAAACTCAGCAAGTTATCTATGTTCATTTTGCTTTGTACTGGTATAAGTGTCTTCATGGTATTTGTAAATTTGGAAATATTCAAAGTTTTTGATGTGTGACTCATGAGTGTGAAGTATCTAATATATTTTCATGAAATTCATTCTATTTCTAGGCTTTAATCTGCATCACTAATTTCTGGATTCAGCATGTTATTTTAATTATTGCTTTTTAAATTTTTGATATTTTGTTTCAGCATAATGGTACCACTCATCCATCTTTGTAGAATATTTCTTACTTTCACTGATTCCCCCCTCCCCCAAATGAGCTATAAAATTATTTTTGAGTACTAAGTAAATCTGTCTTGACTGAGAATGTAATACATTTGTAAATTAGTTTGGAAAGTTGATTCTTTTGCAATGCAGGGTGGAACAAAAGTAGGTTTACAGTTGTGAGTATGCGAAACAGTTTATTCTTGCATTATTATTAATTATTGTATAATTTTCCATATGAACAACTGTAAGCCTACTTTTGCTCCACCCTGGATGTATTTTTCTTGTTCTGGAATTTGTAATGTTCCCTACTAAACTTTTTTAAGTATTAAAGCTTTGCACCAAAGTTTTAAATGCCAAATAGTAAATAGTATGCTAATGTGTCTATGGTTTTTCTTGTGTTTACACATAACATTGTATTTTGTGTTATTACTGTATTATGAAATCTCAATTTTTCAAGATGCACAAATCTCCAGCAGTTTTGAAAGGAGAGACTGGGCATCATGAGTCACCATTATGCATTTCCTGATACTATCTTGAAGTTAGGAGTTGTCTGTTTCTTGCAGATGATATGTGATAATGGGTGACTTTCTGAAGGGGGATTCAAAACACACAGATTCAGCTAAAAGGTAGCATATACATAAATTCCAAGTGTGACCTGGGTGAACCTTACCAAGCATGAATGAAAGATCTCTAATTTTTTGGTGTGTTCAGTGGAATGAGGGTTAACTTCTTATTTCTGAGCAATTTTTTACTGTGTCAACATGAACTATTTCACAACATTTTGATAATTAATACTATGACTTGACTTAAATATATTTACAATCCTTTTTTTTTTTTAATCCTCACCCAAGGACATTTTTCTATTTTTTTGTTTAGATAGAGTAGGAGGGAGAGAGAGGAAGAGAGAGAGAGAGAAACATCGACGTGAAAGGGACACATCAAGTGGCTGCCACCTGCACGACCAACTGGGGCTGGGGACAAACTGCAACCGAGGTACGTGCCCTTAGCGGGAACCGAATGTGGGTCTCTCTGGACTGCAGGTTGACTCTCTAACTGCTGAGCAAAACCGGCCAGGGCGCCATCCTTTTTTTAATTTTTATTGATTTTTTTTTTTATCCTCACCCAAGGACATTTTCCCATTTTTTGTTCAGATAGAGTGGGAGGGAGAGAGAGGAAGAGAGAGAGAAAAAAACATCAATGTGAAAGGGACACATCGAGTGAGTGCCTCCCTCACAACCCAACCAGGGCCGGGGACAAACTGCAGTGAGGTACGTGCCCTTAGTGGGAACCGAACCCCAGTCTTTCTGGACTGCAAGCCCGTGTTCTAACCGCTGAGCCAAACCGGCCAGGGCTATTGATTTTTTTGGAGAAGAAGGGAGAGAGATAAAAACATTGATGTGAGATAGAAACATCGATGTAAGAGAGAAACATCGATTGGCTGCCTCCTGCACACCCCCTAGTAGGGATCAAGCCTGCAATCTGGATATGTGCCCTACTGGGAATGGAATCGGGACCTCTCCATCCATGGGATGATGCTCAATCCACTGAGCCACACTGCCCAGGCATATTTGTCATCTTTTTCAGGTAACATGTTTTTATTTTTAATTGAAGTAATTGTTTTCTTTCTCCTTCTGACAGAGATCTATTAGGTCTTTTGCCAATGATGATCGCCATGTTATGGTGAAACATTCAACAATCTATCCATCTCCGGAGGAACTTGAAGCTGTTCAGAATATGGTGTCTACTGTTGAATGTGCTCTTAAACATGTCTCAGATTGGCTGGATGAAACAAATAAAGGCACAAAAACAGAGGGCGAGGTAGAAATGAAGAAGGATGAGGCCACAGACACCTGTTCCAAGTGAGTGTGGCCTGACCTTTGTGGCACTTTACTGCAGTACCCAGAAAGTCCAGGGTCCCACCCTCTGGCTTATGTGTGGTGTATGGTGTCCTTTGGGTTTTCTCACTTATATGATTGTAAACAAAGAAGTGAATATTTGTAGAGTTTTTCTGAGTTAAATTTGAAAGGAAAACATGAAAGGAGGCGTGATTAGACCAGAAAAAGAGGACCTGTGCAGGATACCTTTTGAGAATGCACCAAGCCCTTTGAAATCTCTTTTTGGAAGTGATAAGTCATCCTTTTCATGTTTTGGCTCAGCCTCCTACATTCAGACATAAATAGTAGTATTTTTGGTTTCTGGGGAAATCTTAAAATGTCATTTTTGTCAGATATTTTAAAACCTTGGCATAGAAAAAAGAGTGCGGCAAAAGGTATTTAAAGGTGTTTTTAACTGTATCTACTGTGTTGATTCTCAATGTTTTCCATATAGTAAATGCTCATTGGATATTTGTAGAATGCAAGAAGGCCTACTGGGAGCCAGAACCTTCAACAATTATAGCAGAGTATTCTCAGTGCTTTAATAATAGTAAGAGATTAGTAAGATGAAGCTGATGAAAACTGGAGTCAGATTATGACTTTTTTTTTTCATTTTTCATTTTATTTTTGTTACAGATGTTTCTCCCTTTTTACCAAGTTGACACCCTTCTCCCCATCCCCCTCACCCCATCTTCGGCTTTGTGACATTTTTTTAAGCCATACTAAAAGCTTAGAGTTACTGTTTTGAGCAGTGTCATTATGATTGGAATTAAGTGTATGATTGACTTTGAAAGATGAAGCTAATTTAACTACTGAATTAATAGGATTAAGAGTGTTGCTTTGGCTAAGACTTGTGAATTGAGTATGGAAGTTATAGAATCATTTGCAGATTTAATTCTGAATCAATGTAATAAGTAGATAACAGTGGGAAAGTATTGATAAATTGATTTCTTCACAGAAATATTGTGTAACCTTTTCATTTTCAAATCAAAGATAATCAGTATCAGTTATCAGTTGAAAATAATTCCTTGACTTTGTTAATGGTTTATAGGTAATATATATTGTATCTAGTTGTAGTCTTGTCAGCTTCAAGGTTCTTGGCAGCAGTTCATTTTTTCTCACATATGGCTTTAACAAAGATACTCAAATTTTGGAGTTTATGTTAATTAGTAATATTATCTAATAATCTAGTTTTGTATATCCCAGTCCCTATGGAAGTTAAATTGTCATACACTCCATATTCACATTGTACTTTGGAATGTGTTTATACCCTTTTAAACTTTAAAAATTGTACAATATATAACATACAGTTTACAATTTCACCATTTTTAAGTGGTTTCCTTTTTTAGTGGAATTCATGACCTTCTTAATACATCTTCAGTTTGTTCTCATGGCTGGGTAGACTTTTGGAAAGTACTCCAGTAGACTTTTGCTCAACTGAATCAAGATCACTGTGTTTTAAAGGTTTTAAAAGGTGACGTGCTCCCTGTGTGCATGCTCTTGATTGTAAAGTCTTTCCATTTTGTGGACTAGTTACCGGTTGAGCACTTGTCTGTGAGTCTTCCCACATGGTAGAACTCAAGTTGTGCAGAATGAGTCTGTTCTTACTTTGTTTAAACCAGAGTCAGTCACACCCCCAAGAATAAAGCTGTGTTTGATAATAGACACATACTGTACTCCTGGTATATACTGAGTATCACCGCATAGGGCACAAGATGGTTGAGGGCTAGCTGATTGTTATTAAGAACTTCTGTTGTCAGGCACAGTTTGGCAGCTTTTATTTTTACTTTTTTTGTTGTTGTTAAACCTCATCAAAGGATATTTTTTCATTGATTTTTAGATAGAATGGAAGGAAAGGAGGAAGAGAGAGAGGGAGAAACATCAGTGTGAGAGACACACATGAGTTGGTTCCTCCTGCACGACCCAGGGCTGGGGATCGAACCTACAACCCAGGTATATGTCCCTGATCGGGAATTGAGCCTGTGACCCTTCTGTCTGCAGGTCTACAGTCTAGCTGCTAAGCAAAATCTGCCAGGGCAGGATTCTGTTCTTAATTTTAAGTAATTCTCTACATTTGAGTTGCTTGCTTTACAATACCTTCTATATTCAAATTCATTATTCAACTTCAGGACTGAATTAGGACTTAGTTTCTTTGCTCAGTCCTGCTCTTTGCTAAGTATGAGAAGACCAAGTTTGTCATAATTATGATATAGAATTTAATAAGTGAGCTAATAATGGCTAGTTAATAATAGCTACCATTTATTGCATGCCAATTAGAGTGCCAGATTATTTTCCACGTTATTGTACAATAAACCTACTAGTCTCTGTTATTATCTGCCTCCATTTTATTTTTATTTATTTTAAAATATTTTTTTATTGATTTTTTTTTTTTTATCCTCACCCGAGGACTTTTTTTGCATTTATCTTCAGATAGAGCGGGAGGGAGAGAAGGAGGAAGAGAGAGAGAAATATTGACGTTAAAGAGACACATCGAGTGGTTGCCACCCACACGACCCCAACTGGGGCAGGGAAAAACCCCAACCAAGGTACGTGCCCTTATCGGGAACCGAACCCAGGTCTCTCTGATCTGCATACTGATGTTCTAACCGCTGAGCCAAACTGGCCAGGACTTTATTGATTTTTTTAAAGAGAGGAAGGAATGGAGAGAGAGAGAAAGAGAGAGAGAGAGAGAGATTAAAACATCCATGTCTGGGAGAAACATTGATCGGCTGCCTCTTACATGCCCCCTACTGGTGATCGAGCCTCTCAGTCCATGACACAACGCTCAGTCCACTGAGCCACACTTTCACTGCTTCAGATTTGCTTACGCCCCCCAAAAATAAAAATTAAATTAAAAATGACTTGGAATTGTTAACAAACTTTAACTTGCTTAAGGTCACTGAATGAGTGTGTGTAGTAGAGCCAGGATTCACATTTAAGTCTGTTGGACTCCAGATCCAGTTTTCTTAGCATCTTTGCTTTGATTTCCTGTGACTAAAATGTGAAAGTGCAGAGCAAGGAGAGATTATATGCTGGTTCTGGGGATCAGAAAAAACTTGATGAAGGAGGTAGCATTTGCCAGTAGGTTTAGAGCAGTGGTTCTCAACTTTCCTAATGCCACCACAATCCTTTAATACAGTTCCTCACGTTGTGGTGACCCCCAACCATAAAATTGTTTTCGTTGCTACTTTATAACTGTAATTTTGCTACTGTTATGTCTTAGGCAACCCCTGTGAAAGGGTATTCAACTCTCAAAGGGGTCATGACCCACAGGTTGAGAACTGCTGGTTTAGAGGATGGGTAGGGTTTTGGTGCAGGCAATGAAAGTTGAAAAAAAAAATCTCAGCGAAGATCTAGGTATGAGAAAATATAGATCCTGTTGAAGGATTAATAGTTATTATTTATTGAGCTATTAATATATGTGAAGCTCATTACTTTTTTTTTTTTTTTTGTTCATTTATCTTCAGATAGAGCGGGAGGGAGAGAGGGAGGAAGAGAGAGAGAGAGAAACATCGACGTGAAAGGGATATCGAGTGGCTGCCACCCGCACGACCAACCAGGGCTGGGGACAAACTGCAACCGAGGCACGCGCCCTTAATGGGAACCGAACCCGGGTCTCTCTGGCCTGCAGGCTGACGCCCTAGCCACTGAGCCAAACCGGCCAGGGCTGCTGTTTCTTTTTATTTAAAATCCTCACCCAAGGGTATGTTTTTTAAAAAAATGTGGTGGTCGGGGGAGGAAACATCAGTGTGAAAAACATTGATTGGTTGCCTCCCATACTCACCCTGACCAGGGACCTTTTGGTGTATGGGACGACACTCCAACCAACTGAGCCACTTGGCCAGGGCCTGAGTCTGTTCTTAATATTAAAGAATTCCCTACACTTGGGTTACTTGCTTTTTATTTTTTTCTATACTTGACTAGCCTTAAAGTTTTTTTATTGATTTACCATTTATGAATCTCTAAGGTGTGCCAGGCACTGAACCAGTGACTGGATTATTTATAATTTACTGTCTTGTTTCCATTATCACAATTTGTTTCTTTCCTTTCTCTAGTTTATTCTCCACTCTGCTGATTTTTGCCTCCAGCTAGAATTACCTTTTTTCTGTCTAACCAAATCAAGGCTGGGCTGAAGTCAGACTTTTAGGTTGCTTTGCTTGTCCTTTTTTTTTTTTTTTTTTTTATCCTCACCCGAGGACATTTTTCCATTTTTTGTTCAGGTAGAGTGGGAGGGAGAGAGAGGAACAGAGAGAGAGAGAGAAACATCGATGTGAAAGGAACACATCGAGTGGCTGCCACCCACACAACCGACCAGGGCCGGGGACAAACTGCAACCGAGGTACATGCCCTTAGCGGGAACCGAACCCGGGTCTCTCAGGACCGCAGGCCGACACTCCAACCGCTGAGCCAAACTGGCCAGGGCTGCTTGTCCTTTTTAATTTTTTTTTTTTTTTCCTCACCCGAGGATATTTTTCCATTTTTTGTACAGATAGAGTGGGAGGGAGAGAGAGGAAGGGAGAGAGAGAGAGAAACATCGATGTGAAGGGACACATCGAGTGGCTGCCACCCGCACGACCAACCAGGGCCGGGGACAAACTGCAACCGAAGTACGTGCCCTTAGCAGGAACCGAACCCGGGTCTCTCCGGACCGCAGGCCGACGCTCTAACCGCTGAGCCAAACTGGCCAGGGCTCCTTTTTAATTTTGACCTCTCCCTCTTCTGTACTTGGGAGGCAGCCATTCTTGTGGTCAAACCAACTTGAGTTAGAATCCAGGCTTTGTCATTGTGAACCTGAACAATTAATTAGCTTTCCTGAGATTCACATTTTTTGTCTTTCAAATGTAGGCTTGTTTGAGGTTTAAATGAGAATTATGGCATGCAGTTTGTCCTCAGATGTTACTTTCCCTTCCCCCTTTAAGCAGGTTACTGCTTTTGCACTTACACAGTGTAAGCCTGTAAGGAGCAGGAGTGATTGGATCTCCTTTAGTTTTTTTCCGTATTCAACATTTGCTTAGTTGTTGAATGACTGCTCAGCTTAGTTATATTTTTCACTTGTGATTAAGGAAAATGAACAAATAAGACATTGTAAATCAAGGATAGTTGCTAACTTTATTTTTTGCACCACTCATGACTTGATATCCTTTGAGTATTCGTTCTTTTAGCTACTATTCTATTCAAAATACATATCCTGGCAAATTATCTTTGATCTGTTCTTTCCTCAGCTCTTTGCTTTTATCACATTATTCTGTTTTCCCCATAAACTTTTGTGGATTCCTAGAACGATACAGCTAGAAGGGATGAACTAGGGCTCATCTAACTAATAGCCATTTGACATTTTGGATACCAGCAGGCATCACTAGAAGTAGAGTTCTGGGCTTTTAAATTTCCAACCTGATGCTTTCTCAGTATACCATGGTGCTCATGTTTCTCACAGATTGTTTAATTACCAATAACAATATAATAGGAATTTTTTAAAGTTTGAAAAAGTGTTTAAGGAGATGTAGTATATTTGGATTTTTCTGAACAATATAGTATAATGAAAAAGTTTTAAATCTGTTGTCTAAATTATGCTCCATGTTGATTTCTTGAGGAAGATAGATACTTTTTGAGCCTTATCGGAAACTCAGTTTTATGGAATTTTGGATATCTGGATTTATATACTCCCTTATTAATTCACATGGATATCCAGGAAGCCAAGGAATGATTAAGTTTTAGTCTGGGAAATAGGTTGTAAAAGTAATCATTCAGACTTTTATTTTTAGGGATCAAGGTGGTCGGACATTGTGTGGTGTAATGAGAATTGGCCTGGTTGCAAAAGGCTTGCTGATTAAAGATGATATGGACTTGGAGCTGGTTTTAATGTGCAAAGAAAAACCCACAGAGACTCTGTTAAATACAGTCAAAGATAATCTTCCTATTCAGATTCAGGTGAGTACAGTTTAATTTCACCTCTAGGAGAATTTGTAAAAAGACGAAAATAGGTAGTAACTTTGAATTCAGTAACAAGAAATTGGTGGTAATAAAGGATACAGACAAAAGGAATGCTGCTACTCTGGATCAGTGACTCATTCATCACATTTAAAGCAAATTCTCTGGATATATTTACCAAATTAAGATGGCTATTAAGGTACAGTCTTAAATTTTTCAGGTGTGTCTTGCTGAGAGAGTCTTCATGGTTTCCAGACGAGGTCTCTCAGCATTGTGAAACTCTTGGAAGGGTTGGTATAATGCAGAAAAGAACTGAAAGATCAAAAAGAGCCTACACCACTGGAGACTTGCATAAATAATAACTTTTAATATCGAAGACTCAGTTACTTTGACAGTCAGCCCATTCATTCTGTTAGCGCAAAGTTAGTTCCTTGTTTCCAAACCTTTTTTACATGGTGATGCATTTAGGAAATTTTCATGTTAGAATGCTTTCTGGAGGATGCTACTTACGGCTGAAAGCTCCTCAGGGCTGAAGGCAACCCTAGGACCAGCTCTGCTAGCCTGCTCCGAGGACCAGTTGCATCACTAATTGGGAAGCTGTGATCATCTTTCATTTTTAGATGTGTTATTGTGGTATCATTAGATTGTAGTTTTTTGATGATTTCATATCAGTTAGTCCTTATATCCATGTCAAATAAATAGATACTGGTCCACAAGGTCCAAACTTTGAGTTGTTGAATGTTCTCTTTGTTGTCCTTTTCTTTATCCTCACCCGAGAACATTTTTGCATTTATCCTCAGAGCAGGAGGGAGAGTGGGAGGAAGATAGAGAAACATCGATGTGAGAGAGACACATCGAGTGGCTGCCACCCACACGACCCCAGCTGGGGCCAGGGACAAACTGCAACCAAGGTACATGACCTTAGCAGGAACTGAACCCTAGACTCTCTGGTCCCCGAGCCGACGCTCTAACTGCTGAGCCAAACCGGCCAGGGCTCTTTGTTGGTTTTTTATTTATATTTCTTCTAAAGTCCTCCTGCCCTTTTTTTTTTTTTTTTTTTTTTAAAGTAATAGAAATTTTAAACTTGTCATTTAATTAGCTTTGTTAGTGGATCATTTTCTTTCATCAAAATCATCTTTTTTTTTTTCTTTTTTTTATCCTCACCAGAGGACATTTTTCCATTTTTTGTTCAGAGAGAGTGGGAGGGAGAGAGAGAGAGAGAGAGAAACATCGACATGAAAGGGACACATCGAGTGGCTGCCACCCACATGACCCAACCAGTGCCGGGGACAAACTGCAACCGAGGTACATGCCCTTAGCGGGAACCAAACCCAGGTCTCTCCGCACCGCAGGCCGTTGCCCCAACTGCTGAGCCAAACCGCTCAGGGCCATCTTGTATTTTTTTTATCTAGCATTCTTGATAGTCAAATTGTGTTACTTGTTGACACATTCCCCTGTATTAATTTTTGGAATGTCTATTTTATTTTATCATTCTGTCTTAGATCTTAACATATAGTTTTTAAGGTGACAAACATTTGGCTTTTCTATTTTTTATTCTGATGAAGAAATGTTTCTGGTCTTTCTTAGGGTTAAATTTATTTCTTTAAAACATTTTTTAAAGCTCTTTGTGATCACTGGAGAGGGAGAGTGGCCAGTGACATGGAGTACAATGAAGTTTAAAGAAGTGGAAAGCTCAATAACGGGTTTCTGGCTAACTATATCTTTTGTTATTAGAATGTTAATAAAATTCCTCTTGTTTACATTATTTCTTATATTGCTTTAAAATTTAATCTGTATTTCTGCTTTTAGTGTAGTGAACATTGTACATTTAAACCTATTATAAGGTAATAATCAAGTGGTTGGCTATGTTAGTCTTTTTTCCCAGCCATCTCACCCCCATTTCTGTTTCCTTTAGTGAGTCCTATTTCTTACGAGAATGCTCATATTCCTCATATGTTAGGGTGGAAAAGAGTTGAAAACAAGTGCTGTAATAAATCAAAGTTCTTATCTGAAAGTCTTTCACATTTCTCTGGTATTGAAGATGTAGGAGATTGGTCCAAGCTTCAGTCTGCATTAGTAGAGCTTTCTCTGTGCAGACCACAGCTGTGTGAACTCTGCACTTTTTTCCTCTCCTGAGTGGGGATCTTTATTTTTGGGCACCACAATTTTAAAATGCTCCTGTTGAACTAGCAAGTGTTTAAGGGAGGGACACAGGAGAGAGTGCAGGCTGTATAAACCAGTTCAGATTTTTAAAAATATGTTTTATAGATTTTTTTTTTTTTTAAGAGAGAGAAAGGGAGAGGGGGAGAGAGAGACATCAGTGAGAGAGAAGCATCAATTGACTGCCTCCTGCACACCCCCTACTAGGGTTGAGCCTGCAACCTGGGCATATGCCCTGACTGGGAATTGAACTGAGACCTCTCGGTTCATGGGATGAACGCTCAACCCACTGAGCCAAACCGGCTGGGCTGAACCTGTTTAGATTTAAAAGGGACTGGGGCTTTAAAAAAATTTTTTTTTATCCTCACCCGAGGACATTTTTCCATTTTTTGTTCAGATAGAGTGGGGAGGGGGGGAGAGGAACAGAGAGAGAGAGAAACATCGATGTGAAAGGGACACATAGAGTGGCTGCCACCCGCACAACCGACCAGGGCCGGGGACAAACTGCAACCGAGGTACGTGCCCTTAGCGGGAACCGAACCCGGGTCTCTCAGGACCGCAGGCCGACGCTCTAACCGCTGAGCCAAACTGGCCAGGGCGGGACTGGGGCTTTTTAGGCAAGAGAAGACAAAACATGACACAAATAGCCTTAGGTCTTTGTAGGGCTTCTTGGAGAAGGTAAAAGAGGCCTGAATCTTAAGACTAATAATGGAAATGATGAGAAGAAATGTTTCAATTTATTATAGCCAATGAAGTTATGGAGTAGTGAAACCAGCTGCTTTGTTTGTGTGATGTTTAGATCCATTACTATAGGTACTTGGGTAAAGATACCCAAATAAAATGGGGATGTAATTGTACATCCATCTCATTAGATTGTATACATGTACACATATATGCCCAAATATACATACAAGTACAAACACGTTATTATTGCTAATATATTCTATATAATCATTTAAAGGATGATTTTTGCTTTTACTCCCTGCTTCCTCCTCGTTTTCTTGGTGTTTGTGTGGAAAACCAATCTCTGATATGATCTTATTTTCTTATGAGTTTAAAAAAAAATATTTTTGAGCACTTACTGTAGCAAAACTTTGTTATCTAAATACCTTAATTAATTGAGGTTGTTCCATATCTTTTCTCTACATATTTTTTTCCTGGGGTGATTTTAGAACTTCCTTGAGCAAGAAGGGAGGAAAAGGATGACCAAAATCAGAAATCACTTATAATTAGTCTAGTCCCAAACTTATACCATATGTTTATTATTTTGGATGTGTCTTATGGTGATCTGCATGCATAATGGAAAATTTTAGTTTGATTCATTCTCTGATGGACATCTTTAATGCTCTTATAGTAGTAAAATGAATGGAAGCAGTTTTCTACTTTTACTCTACATTCTAGTTCTGTTCTGTTTTTTCCAGTTACTTTGTGGCCATTTTCTTCCTTGGTTTCTTATATTTGAAATTAGATAATGAGTTTTCTACTTCTTATCTTTTTTTGAAATGTTTAATGGTAAAATACTCTTTTTATGTAAATGGCTTTGAGTTCTTTTAATGTACACTGCTGAGCAGAGACCCATCAGTGTTTCCATTTAGCTGTTTATGTCAGGTAGTAGATAATAAATTTCACCTCCAAGAAAGACCCTGTGTAATTTTGTGTGTGTGTGTGTAATGTATAGTGATATATTAAGTACAACTTATATGATTCTAATTGATGATTACTTTGTGGAAAACTCTTAAATTGAGTATTGTTGAAAGAATCAATGTACATTTGTTTCCCTATGGGTGTCAAATGACTTGTCCCATAAATGATAGGTCTCACTGGAGTGATTGATCTCTTGAGACCTGTAGTTAGAAAAGGGAAGTTACTAGTTTATGCTTATTTTTTTGCTGATGAGTGACTGTGCAGAGCTTCTTTTTTATTCATTCTTACTTGATTCTCTTTAGAAATCTATATAATCTTATATGTAAATCTACATAATTTTAAATTTGTAAGTCATTGGTAAGTAGGAGTTCCTTTTTAGGCTGTCCTGTCAAAAAAGTACTGGTTTAGAGAGCATGCCCAGCAATTTATTTTTCTACAATAGTTCTTTGTAATACTGTAAAGAATAATAATTTTTACCTGTTATCACATAATGATGCTGTTGGTATTTTACTTTCAAATACTATAAAGAATGAATTTAAATACTGTTTATAATTGTATAGAGAGTTGATGTTGTGGTTGCTTTTTGAGGAATGGAGATAGAGGATTTGCTGATAAGTTGGAAGGAGAGAGAAGTTATTCCTAAACTAAAGAACTAGTTAATGACTTTATTTACTTTCTTGGCACAATATTACTAGTAGTTAATAACACTTAAAAATTAGGGGGCAGTTGTTTTTTGAAATTTTAATCTAATTGGATGTTTTTGAAATCTTGGTGACTTTCAGAAACTCACAGAAGAGAAATATGAAGTGGAACAATGTGTAGATGAGGCATCTATTATAATTCGGAATACAAAAGAGCCCACACTAACTTTGAAGGTGATACTTACTTCCCCTCTAATTAGGGATGATTTGGAGAAGAAGGATGGAGGTACATACACACATATATATATATGTATATATATTTGTTTTGTTCATGAAGAACCTCTCTTAAGTGCTATGTTAACTGTACTTTATAGATTTAAGAAATAACTGTCTTCATTTGTTTCATGCCACTTACAGTATTTTAAACAGTTTTGTTTCACATAAATCACTATATTTTGCAAAAATGTATATATTTGAAATATAAAACGTGTTAATTCAAATACTTGTGCCTATCATGTTGTTCACAGCTCTAATTTTTATACTGTTTTGGTGTTCTGTTTTACTTTGTCTGGTATTTCGTTGTTACTGCTGTCATTCAACCTGTTCTGTATAGTTTGGCCATTAGGTCTAACTTCAGGATTAAATGTGGACCAAACAGTATTTTGAAATTTATTCAGTGTGGTTCAAATTACTCATTTGTATATTGCTCTTGTAATAACTCTATATAACCTTATAAGATGTATGCTTTTTACATAATTGCCCATGTGTAAATATGTTTTATAATGTAAGGTATATAAATTAGGGAATTGAATTTTTAAAATAATCTTTAGTAAGTGTTTTTTCTAGGAGGTTTGTGATCCTGTTAACATTTTGAATATGATGTATATGGGAATTATGCCTTGAAAGTAACTTTCTTCTGAAGTTAAAAAGAATTTGTCTATGGCAGTGTCGAACTTGTAAAAGTAGAGTGAGAAACCTATTCAGTTTTGAGAAGTAATCATGGAGCTGAGCTGCTTTTTCTGATGTTTTTATCCTGTCAAGTTAGCTTATTTCTGCCTCTCAGTTCTGTCCCTAGAAACTTACCATGTGGTATTTCTCCTGTGTGAGACCTTTGACCAACCAGGGGCCTCTCTCTGTCATAACAATGTAAAGGCAGTGTGGCCTGTGGGCCAGTGGAGACTCCCTATTGCTACTTTTCATTACTAGACATTTAACAAGTTCCTTGCTTACTCCCCAACCTGAAATGCCAGTGCAGTAAGAAATATTGGTCAGTTTCTTAATTTATTTTAAGTTGACAATAAAGATAGAAAGACATTTACCAGTGATGTTAGAACTTTGAGTTTTGGCAGACGTGTGATAGACTCCTTTTAAAAAGCTTTTGGGGTAACTAAATCAGCTATACCAAACCTAACGATATAAACTAGATATAATTATGAGTTATGGTTTAAAATTAAAGTGCATCCAATCTATAATTGGGTTTATGCATGTACTTTTTTTCTGTATATAGTATCTCTAACACCTCTGAAGAACCAATCTTAAATGGCTTAATTTCTTTAACAGCTTTTCAGTTCACCATTAACTGTAGAACTATAAAATGATTTCTGAAGTATCAAGATAATTCTGTTAATTCTGGTAAGCTGTGTTCTACTTGACCCCCCCAGTGTAAAACTAACCATTTCTAAGTAGAGTTATAATTATAGGTATTATTAAAAATTATTTGAGTATAGAGAGATGAGAAAAAGACTGAAGTTGCCAAAGACTATATTAATTATGTTTGCTTGTAGCTGTAGGCATCCCTTCCATTACTTCTTTGAAAGTATTAAGAGAACAACAGTCTTCTTTTTTCCTAGGGTTTTATGTACTTACATGGAATTTTGCCATAGTTTTCAGTGATACCCTTAAACTAAGTCTGTTGCTTTTATAACTTTAATTTCTGTTCAGAGAAACTGAAAAGAGATTCTTAGTGTAGTGCACCCTTCTTGGAAGACTAGTTTATAGGATGGGTAAAGTAGGAGAGTCGGTGTTTGTTCAAGATGTTTGTTTACTAAAGGATCCCAAGACCTTTTAAGGGCTGAATCTCATCAGCTGATGTTAAACATTGTTGTGTGGGGTCAGGTAAGGTGAAAGAATCAGCTTGGCTTTAATGTTTTATACATGTTACTTCCTCTTCTTTTGAATGGCAGAAAGATTCGCTTTGCTGTTGTCCTCAACCTCCCAGCCCTTTTGACTCACTTGTTATCTCTTCTAATTTGCTCATTTTGTCTAACCTGGGCTTTGTCAAAGACAGTTGGTTTTTGTTGTTTTTTCATATGTACTAGCAGTTTTGTGTATTCCTGGGCAAATTTGAGTGTTTGAGACCTTGGCTACATAATTCTGTGGGACTTGATTCCTTACACTAGACAGACCCCGCCCCCCCCCCCCCCCCCCCCCCCCAATGCTCCGCTGATGCAGTTCTTCCCAACTGCGGAGAGTAAAAGCACAAGATTATTAGGGTTCCAGGAATTCCTAAGACTGAGAGATATCCCTTTAAAAAAAATCTCCACTCTTTTCTTTCTCCTAGTTAAAAAAAAATACATTGTAACGTTTTCAGAGTATTTTTCTGTAGAGTTTCAATTTCTCCCCTCCCCACAAAACAAACAGACTATTCACGATATATACAGCATATACCTCACATCTTTCTCTTCCCTGTCTTCACCTGGTTCATATTTGGATAAAATCTAAAGCGGGGGGAATAAAGTGTGATTGAGAGCAGAGAGAACTGGAGGACTGGGACAGGTGAGGGCATCACGCTCACTCTCCTCAGGGTTGTCTACAGAAGTGGATCTATGTACCCATTTCAGATCACTGTTTACATTGTCAGTGGCCAGAGTATGTCGTGAATCTCTTTGGTATTGTTTAGTATTTCACAGGTAAGATTCCTCCTGTGCTGTCAGTTGTCTTTCCATATTCTAACCCTTTACTGAGGGTGCTGTAGAATAACCCTTCCCCATGACTGCATGCTTCCTGCTAAAGAGGCATGGGGGGAAAGCACAGACATTGGTGCCTGGCAGTCAGGTGTTCAATTCTTAATTCCATTAGTTACTATTTCTATGTGACTTTGGGCAGGTTCTTCATTTTAAAATGTGGATAATAGCCTGGCCCATGTAGCTCAGTGGTTGAGCATCAACCCATGTACCAGGAGGTTGCCGGTTCGATTCCTTATCAGGGCACATGCCCAGGTAGTGTGGACCAAATCCCCAGTCGGGGGCATGCAGGAGGTACCCAGTTGATGTTCTCTCATCGATTTTTTTCATCTCTCTCTCCCTCTCCTTTCCTCCTTCTCTAAAATCAATAAAGAAAAAAACATTTTTTTTTAATATGGATGATATATACTTTAGAAAGTTGTTTGGGGTTAAATGAGAGAGTTTATGTATTGTGACCTGTACAATACCCAGCATAAAGTAGTTGCTCAGTAAATGCTGGTAGCTTAAGAAAAAGATTCACAGTGTAAACTCACCTACTCAGACTGCCTTGAGTTCACAGTGGGAATAATGTGTACATGATAGGTCTGAAGAACTGAACCTTAAAGCCCCATTGAAGTGCAGTATTGGGATCAGTATTTTGTGCTTGCTACAGTGCTAATAATAAGCTTGTTTTTTATATAGTGTATGATTTTATTGAGGGCAGGTATCTTTTTCACTACTCCTAACCTTTTTCCTAGCTCCTGTGATGGTACCTAATACATAGTAGGCAATTAAAAAAAATCTGCTAAATGACTTTTCATAGCCACATATTGTTTGATTAAATAGGACTGTCCGGTATGTAAGAAGCATTAACAATGGGCATGTCAAAATTCAAGCTGTTAGGGTATAAAATAACTTACTGTTTTATAAGCAGTTTGTCATATAGGACTTATTTTAACTCTCACAACAGCCCTCTGAGGTGGATAATTGCCCTATTTTATAAATGAGGAACATATCATCACATTGTACCAGTTCCTGTCAGTCTAATGTGCTGTCTGCTTTCCCATTACTGTCTAGGATAAGTGTAGGAGCATCTTAACTAATTTAGTTATACTGAGCATACACAGTCTCAGCTTCTTTCGGTGCTTGTGATTTTAAACCAGAAGTGTGTTTGCTGTGAGGGTGGTAAATCAGCTCTTTATTCTGTTTACAGTGCAGTTTGAAACCAGGTGGACATGGAAACTACAGAGACTCATGTTGCTTATTAGGTTAGGATAAACCTCTGTCCTTGGTATTGGGGCGATATTCAGGGGCTCACAGAGAGGCTGCCCAAGAGTCCCTTTTCCCATAGGCACCATGCAGACTTCTGACACATCTTGACAAAAGTTCACTGGCATGAGTCCTGTTAGGTGAAGGCATTAGATTCTCACAGTCCAGAAATCACAACTGGGATGATAGCGATGCTGCAGGCTTTCTTTTCCTGCCTTCCTCAACTGCTAGATCTAAAATCCAGTGCAAACCTTGAGCCATTATCTTTCCAGTGGCTGACTGTCTCCTGAGGCACTGAAAAAAAGTCATACCAGTAACATTGCTACTGGAAATTAGGAAAACAGTCTCTCTGATCTGCCTTAGTGCTACGTTTACCTGTGCACGTTATAGTGGCCTGATGTTTTGCATGGGCAGTGGTTTGAAGCATAGTGCCTGTTCTATACAAAGCCTCAAGGAGTTGAGAGAAGGGGCTGCAAGGATATCTTCAGGCTAATTAAAAAATCCTGTCAGCATGTACTTAGTAGCTCAGCTTTAGGCTAACTAGAAAAGTCTGTATTCAGTAGCTCAGTTCCATCCACATTATCAAGGAGGTCTTCATGATAACCCAGCTCAATTATTTTACCTGGAGCCCAGGTTCCAGACATATAACTCCTGTTTAACACAGTCATGTTCTGGCTTTTCTCTGCCCCATGTCCAGGCTAGTGTTTTTGTTAATGAGAACAGAGTTAGCTTGCATGTAATGAATTGAGAGAAACTGACCAACATTTCCTGTAGTTTGGTGTGTTTCTGGTCACTGATCTAACCTCTAACCAAATAAAGTTAGGCATAATAGGCTTCTTTTCCAGTGCTTCCATTGTTCAGAATGCCCTATGTACCTTCATGCCCTGATGTCAGGTTACTGAGCAATATGTTTTTAAAAGTTGTTTTCTTTGCTTTTGGCATTTTTGTCACTCCCCAAGCCCATCCCCCATACTATTTCTTCTTCTTCTTTTTTAAATTCCCATACTGTTTCTTAATCTGTTTTACTGGTCACTACAAGAAAAAATGAAAGGTCTCACAGTTCCATTGTTTCTAATTTAAAGATTCCAAGATGCTTTTTATCAGAAAAGCTTTGCTTCCCCACAAAATTGAAACACCTACATTGAAGTTCATACAAAAATGTTAACTTGACGTTCTGCTATGAGAAGTGGCAGTGTTTTTTCGGCAGCAATTCTATGATTACCATATTAAGTCATTTTTTTCTTAAAGAATGAAAATATGTAAAACTGTATATTATTAATATGTAAAGGAAGGGAAGCAGGGCTTATAAATAGTACTGTAGTACCATGTGAATTTACATGGTTTTAAAATAAAAAACTTTGAGGAAGATAAAATGAGATGAATTATTGCAAGTTCTCTACTGTGTCCCACCTTATGAGTATTGAGACATTTTGGATCTTTTGACATTTTGACTCTCAGAGCAGGAAGAAACATAGCCATTCTGATGGTGATGTAAAAGGGATCTGGTGCAGGTCTTCTGCTCACTGCCTGTCCCTCCATCTCCTGCTAGTGGAAGCTACTGCCTCCAAACGTTGACTGTCTGCAGCGAGCTCATGCCTCTAGGTTTTTTTTTAAATAAGAGTTTGTGGTTATATTCTGACTTTGGGGATGAAGTATCTTCATATTTTTGCCATTGTCCCCCTTTAAAAATATCTGTGTTGCAACGAGCATGAGATGTTATTTACAAGTTCTGACCATTGGATGAAAGTACTAGAAAGGTCAAAAAGAGTTTTGGTTTATTTTGTCTTTTCATATCCAAACTTCCTCTGCCTCCCTTCTCTCTTCCATTGCCCTCCCGCCCCCTTTCTACTTGGTAAGATGGTAAAATAAAACTAAACTTGCCTTATTCTTAACTTAAAGATTGAGATTTAAAAAAAATAAGTACAGCCCATACCTTTCTTTTGGAATTACATTACTTGTCAGTCAGTCAACCTTTGTTATGTCTAACTTTCAAGAGATTCTAATCATTCATTTATCATAGTTTGTTTGATCTGGTATGTGAGCTTTACACAGATGCTTGCATTAACCCCAAACATTTTGACATACAACATTAAAATGAGTGAGTTGTATGTTTTGTGTCATTATAAAGACAAAATTGAGCAAGTCTGGGAACTAGATCACCTATAACGTGAAAACCCATAGTACATTTGTTTATGGTTATAAATGAATCCACATTAATCCTTCTTTTTGAGGCTGCCCATTTTTTAAGTAAAAGGGGGTAGTGAGAGGAGACACTGTGTTGTGAATTTGTTGGCAAAGGTTAATGTGAAACAGTGCAAACATCTGGTGTGTAGAGCTCACTGGGTCAGAAAATAAGTGTGTAGCACTTCAGCCTTTAGAGCGTTGCAGCCTAAAAAGAGAATCCCAATTCTTCCTCTATTGGGCATTATGCTTTCGGTTTCAGTTAATGGAAAGCTGGCAGTTAGAATATACAGTAAATTTGTCGTAATAGAATCATGTAAATGAGGAAACCAAAGTACCAGTTATCTATGTCATATTTTAAAATATTGGTATTGTATCAATTGGCCCTCACAGCATACCATCAAGTCTGATTATCATGATTATACTAGAAAGAAGTATTGGACTTTCGTACATCTAAGAGTTCTTAAAAGAGAATGGTGAATCTGACTTAATTGAATTAGACAAAATTTCTCCCAAGAAACATTTGTGTATGTTATTTGCATTTAAATAATGTACCAAGTCTTTAAAAAGTTGAAAAACTCCCTTTGTAATAGCTTAGACTGCAGCAGTTTTCAACCTGTGGGTCGTGACCCCTTTGGGGGTCAAATGACCCTTTCACAGGGGTCACCTAAGACATAGCAGTAGCAAAATTACAGTTATGAAGTAGCAACGAAAATAATTTTATGGTTGGGGGTCACCACAACATGAGGAACTGTGTTAAAGGGTTGTGGCATTAGGAAGGTTGAGAACCACTGGCTTAGAGGGGAATATATTTGGCTCTCTAACCTTGGATTCAGGATCATGTGACATTTTCTCAAATATGGATATTTTTCCTTAATCACCTGTTTGAATTCTTAATTTTGCTGCTTTGGGCCATTTAATCCAGCTTTAAAATGTTAAAGCATGTCAGCTAGCTGTAATTAGTATTCTTTGCTGTCCTTAAAAAAAAGTATAATACAAAACTTGAAATATATTTCATTTTTGCAGTTTTGGTTTAGAAAAGAAGGAGTGAGGGAACTCCAAGAATACACTTAAACCATTCTCATCAGTGGGGTAAAATGGTTATCTTGTTGGATGAGAACATAAAATTGCCATATGCAGTGTATTCTTAGTATATCTCAAATTGATTACACGAAAGAGCCCTGCTTTTCCTTAAGAATTGATTAGTGATTAAGATTCCTTCTATAGAGAATAGTTATCATTGCTCTTGGTTCCAGATTTCTACTCTTTGCACCCTGCCAAAGGAAAAAGTGCTATATACCTATTTTGTGCCCTCTGATGTTATACATGTTTAATAAGATCCCAGATTGTATGTAGCAGTAGTCATTGATTTGTTTACTGAACGAATGCCTTTGTGCTCCTCTTGTACTTGTGCACAGAATGGCTCTGAAGACTTTTTACCATAGTAATCATACTGCATGTAACTTTAAAAAAGCAACAAATCCAAATCATGAAATCCTCTGGGAGTCTTATTAGTTCACTCAAATGTTTCTCTTTTTAAAAATTTTATAGTTTGGTAATTTGACAGGAACTCCTTGGTCAAATTGTATGTCTCTCTCTCTCTATCCTATTTTCCCATTAGAAAAGGTTGCGATGAAAGATCCTCCGGACTTATTGGACAGGCAGAAATGCCTGAACGCCTTGGCGTCTCTTCGACATGCCAAATGGTTTCAGGTTGGCTCTTTGTTATTATCTTAACTGCTATTATACCCTTGTATAGGTTTCATTTGGAATACTTGCCACTTAATGGTTTCTGTGTAGAGTATAAAATGGGGGTACTCTACCTTATAGTGTCATTGTAAGAGTAAATGAGTTAATTTAGATAAGTGCCTATAGCTTCTATTATAGTTGATGTTTAATTATAATACTTTTCAGCTTAGCACTCTGAATTTCAAATGATAGCCTATAAAATACAAACATGGGTGAGAAAAGTTAAAAGTTAAGATAGTGGCCCAGAATGTGGTTGCCATGAGGTTATAAAAGCAATTTTAGTAATGTGCTTGTTTTACTATAAAATGTGTCTTTCTGAATTATAATTATACTGTTTTAATAACTTGATTTAAAAAATTTGTTTGACAACTGATGAATGACTGACTAGCATTCACTTTAAAGAGCCTATCCATGATCAGTGTGCTTAAACAAAGAGTGGCTTTCAACAGGGATATTGGAATCATTTTGTTTGTTTTAGGCAAGGGCAAATGGATTAAAATCATGTGTAATTGTCCTTCGCATTCTGCGTGATTTGTGCAACAGAGTCCCCACGTGGGCACCATTAAAAGGATGGGTAAGTACTGAAATACAGTTAAAAGCAACTTCTAAACTATAATCAGAGGAAATCCTGTAGAAGTTACATATTACTATGAAATGGCTATATTCTGAGTTAGCTAAGGTATGCATTGCCTTTTTTTCTGGAAAAAAATTATGCATTTTTTTCATATGAATTCTTTTTTATGCATTTAACTTGTCTCTTTTACTTTATCATAATTCATGTTACAGACAGAGCCTGAGATTTTTTTTTCTAACAAAGGTTAGCAGTGAGTGTCTTCTGCACTTTGCTCTGCGGTGTTCACTACTGCTCATGAAAGCTCCTTGCCTGGCTCATTGCTCCTTCAAGTGCTCCTTCCATTTAAGATAGAAATGAGTGACATGCCATTATAAGGCTCCCGTACCTTCTTTTTCTTTTTATTTGAGTGCAGACATGTAAAAATAAATTTATGTTAGTAATTAAAGTCAGGTGAACAGTATGGACATAGTTTATAATGTATATTGCAAAACTTTATTTGGAAACTATTATGCCTGACCTACTTGAGACCACAATTAAGAACATTATAAAACAAAGCTCTAAAAGGTCATTTTAAATTAACTTAGCAATTATTCTTTCATATGATATCATCACTTTTTAAACTGATTAGATATGGAGATTTGGTCTTTCATTTATTCTAATTGTAGTAATTGAGGCAGGCTGTCTGAAATGAAGTCTTATGGTTTGAGTGCTTCCTAGGTTCTGTGGGAGAGAGTTGGTTGGGTTTGAATGAATATTGATTAATTATTAGCTTACTAATTTATGTGAAGGCTTGTTATATTTTTGTTAAATCAATTAGATGACCACAATTTCTTAAGTGATTCTTTCAGGGTAACTGCAAATAAAGTTTTTGTAACAAAATGTCCTCTGAATATATTATCTCAAAAATTGATTTAAAAACACTAGATGGGGTAAAAGTTGATAAAGGGGAAAGGTTAATTGGGCCCTAAATGATAAATTGACTTTCACTTTTTTGGTCTTAATTGTAGATAGAAATGCCAGCTCACATTTAACAGGAATCCTTTTAACACTTGATGCATGTACTAATTTGTAATTTAATATCTTCTAGCCACTAGAGCTTATATGTGAAAAGTCTATAGGTACTTGTAATAGACCTTTGGGCGCTGGGGAGGCCTTGAGACGAGTAATGGAGTGTTTGGCATCTGGAATACTACTTCCTGGTAAGGGTTTCAAACTCCGGAGGCAGAAGAATCAGAAAAATCTTATTTTGGTTTGTTTTCCTAAATATTTGTTAAATTTGTCCTCTGAAGAGGAAAGTAATATGTAGGAGTTGAGTTGTTTTACTTGGAATTTTAGCAAATAGGATATTTGTATGTTGGAAAATACTATAAAACTCTCTTTAAATGTAATTTACATTTTATATATACTAACATAAATGGTACTAATAAGATATTGTGTCTTCTATGAATTTGCTTTACTTAGAGCTCTGAATTTGAAAATGTAGATGTTTGGTTAAAATGTATGAAGTCCACTATTTGCACTCTGGTGTTTAATTTGGAAAAATTAAATTTAGTTTTATATCCCATATGTAATCCCCTTAAAGATTGGGGATGACTTATCATGCTGTGTCTGAATTCTCACAGCAAGACCCAGTTTTGAACTTAGCTATATAAGTGACTTTTAGTAAAATGAGGACATTTAGGTGCTAACATTGAAAATGAGAGTATCCTTTTTACTCCATTTAATTAAGCAAATGTAGTTTTTTAGTTTTTTTCCCTCTCCATTCTCTCTCTCTCTCTCTCTCTCTTTCTCTCTGTGTGTGTGTGTGTGTGTGTGTGTGTGTGTGTGTGTGAGTTTATTGAATTCTAAACTCAGTCCTAAATGGTAATTGTGTTTTTCTTTTGCCTTTGCCAAAGGGGGTCCTGGTCTTCATGATCCTTGTGAGCGAGATCCAACAGATGCTCTGAGCTATATGACCATCCAGCAAAAAGAAGATATTACCCACAGTGCCCAGGTAGAAGATGGGGCACATTACTGTGATCTATTAGAGGGATATAATCATTTTATTTTCTGAATTGTTCTAGTTAAACACTATTTTCTTGCCTGTTGTTAAAGGGACTTTTTCTGTCATAGCATTAGCATTTAATGAATAGTCTTTTTAGTGAGATGGTCTAAGGGATTTATACATGGCTGTTGAAATTTGAATAAATATGATCTTTTGTTCTTCAGCATGCACTAAGACTGTCAGCCTTTGGCCAAATTTATAAAGTGCTGGAGATGGACCCCCTTCCATCTAGTAAGCCTTTTCAAAAATACTCCTGGTCAGTTACTGATAAAGAAGGTGAGTGTGAAAGTTTTTTATTGGTGTTGGACATGGGCAGTGGTAGAGATGGTCTTGGGATGTATCTCTTGTTAGAGCTGAGGGAGCTTAATAATCGTTAATGAGATGTTAACTAGACTTATTGTAGTGATCATTTCACAATATAGACAAATATTGAATCATTATGTGTTATAAACCTGAACCTATTATACCCTAATTTAAAAAAAATTTTGTTAATCCAAGTCATGTATAACTATATTGTTTTTCTTCCTGACTTTCTGCTCTTCTGTGCCATCAGTGACATCAGCTCCTTTTATGTATTCTTATTGGTGATGAACTCATTTGGCTATGTTGGCCAGATTCCATTATTACATAGATATAGGAACCATACTTTGAGAAGCCCTGGTCTAAGAGAAGAGATAAGCCACAAACTAGGACGAGATGTTATCACTGTGCTTAGAAGTGTTACATAATTAAGAAAGACAAAACGAAATATAAAGGAAGAGAAAAGTATATTGGAAAATTCAGAAGTATCTTCCATTTGTACTAGTCTGTTTGAACTCACAGTTTCAGCAGGAAGCATAGGCTTTGAGGTCAGTGTAACCTGGGTTCCAGTCATAGCCCCATTATTTACTAGCTTTAGGCTTTGAGCAATTACTTGTTCTCTGTCCTAGGGATATTACCCCCCACTTTATTGGCTGTTAACAGAATAAGATGCCTAACTCAGTTCCTCCAATACAGCAGTCTCAAACATAAATCCACTCACTCTCCTTGTTATAGCACAGAAAAATATCCCTCACCCCCTTTACTCCTATTAAACTAGAAGGTGGGATGTTTAACATCAGTTATATTTCACCTGGGACCCAGCCTACCTCCACAGTTGATATTACTCTAATAATTTTTATATGATGAAAATAGTGTACCAGCCCAATCATTTATTTATTTAGACAACAGAATTCCAGTGGGTCTAAAGGCTTCATGGAGTTCACAAGATCAAAACTGTTTCATAATACTACTAGAGCTTTGTGTGTGTGGTTTCCACTCTTTCAAGAGTGTACAGTTTTCCAGAGGCTGCATTATGACATGTGATGGCATCGTCACTTTGATAGCTAATGGAATGATTTTTTTTCATACTCTTTTATTAAAGTTTTTTGTTATAATTTCTAATATGTTCAGTATTGATAGATATTACCCACAAAACAAAGCTTTTTGAGTACTCAATAATTTTTTTTTTTTTATTATCCTCACCCGAGAACATTTTTGCATTTATCTTCAGATAGAGCGGGAGAAAGAAAGGGAGGAAGAGAGAGAGAGACATTGTTTTGTTCTCTGTATCCAGCATCTAAAGTTATCCTACACATAGAAAATTCTCAATATTTGTTGTTGAATGAATACATAGAATGAAATTATAATGAGGATGATAAAAAGTACAGGCTTCAAAGGGTAATGATTAATAAGTTAATACATGTAAGGTATTAAGAACAGTGCCAGGCATATGGTAAGCACTCTCATATTATTTTTTAAAAATTGTTGCCATTTATGCATGTATGTATGTATGGTGGTATGTGCCCCTAGCGGGAACCGAACCCAGGACTCTTTGATCCGCAGGCCAACGCTCAACTGCTGAGCCAAACTGGCCAGGGTAAAATTGTTGCCTCTTAAATGATCATTTCTCATTTCTAGATATTATAGAGGTTGAAAATGACTTGTGTTTTGTAAAACAACCTCCCTGCCCCGATTACTATTATGATTAGCCCCATATTGTACAGCTGTTTTACAGTGGCTGGGATGGGAGAATGAAGCTTAATCCATAGAACTCTATGTAGCTGGAGGATTTAGAGAAGAGATCTGTGTGTTTAAGCGTTTGTGATTTCCACACAATCAGAGCAGCTTTTAATGTAACTTAATGAGTGGTTGAATGATTTGAGTAGACTTTGTTCCTTTTGAACTTTTATCTCTTAAAGACTGCATTTTGGGAAACTGGGACATTTGGTTTTATGTAATGTAGATGAAATATAATACTAAGCAGATATAAACAGATATTGCCTTCTGTAGAAGAGAACATCAAGATTTATTGACCTGAGTGGTAAGCATTGACTCAGGCAAGTGCTGAAGTCATTGTTTGTCCCGTGGGACAACAAATCTTGATGATCAGAGAATATGTAGTGGTATTCTTACACGATTTCATTAGAAGTATCTGGAAGTCTTGTGGCATGACTTTCTTGAGCATAACTTTCCTTTAGGAGAAACCCAACAACCAGTTTTTAAGACACAGAGTTCTTTCAAATACTTGGACAGATTGATGAGTTTTAACTTGGACAGCAAAGCCATATGCCTGACAGCATTATGAACCAGCTGCTTTACCCAAGAAATTGCATTATATCAGTTCAGTTAGTTTTGGTCCACACCCATTATGTTGTTTCTAAGTCTTGTGATAATTTTAAAGATACAAGACAAGAACAATATCTTGGACATTCATAGAGCACTAAGGAGACTTGGAAAACAGCTAGTGACACACCAGCACCTTGGACACTTTCTGATACCATAGAAACTCTTTTAGAAAGTTGGCCTGGCCAGTGTGGGTCAGTGGTTGAGCATTGCCCCATGTACCAAGAGGTCGCCAGTTCGATTCCTGGTCAGGGCACATGCCCAGGTTGTGGGCCCGATCCCCAGTGGGGGGCATGCAGGAGGCGACCAGTTGATGTTCTCTCTCATCAGTGTTTCTATTTCTCTCTCCCTTCCTCTCTCTCTGAAAAAAAAAATCAATAAAGAAAAAAATTTTTTTTAAAGAAAGTTGAGGTGAGAGAAAGCTGAATGAAGCAAACGTCGTAGAAAAGATGAACTGTAAATAAAATCTTAAGTAGGATTTGAGTGGGCAGACAGAAGAGTATTTTGTAGTGTGAGAAATAATCAGATTTCCCAAAGCCTAAGATTAAACGTGTGAACTTTAAATATTTATACAAGTAATAAATGTTAAATTATAGAAATATTTGAAAAGACATAAGTAAAAATGAATCCTAGTACCAGAAAACACTACCTTTAACATTTTGATATATATCTTTCCAGACCTTTTTTCTGTTTATGCATATTATAGATGTGAATATATGCATAGATATTTGTATTTGTATGTATGAGTGAATGGGAACATAAATATTTATAAAAAGGAATAATATTGTTTCATGAAGATTTATGTTAAAAGTTTTTGCTATTACAAGATTATGAATATAGTAATTTAATTGTTCAGTGAAAGAGTTCTATTGGTCCTTGTGATTCCTAAGATTTCCCTTCCTGAACACATCAGATACGTTTGGTAGAGGAAGTAGAATCATTGTTTTAACTGGTAATGAACCTTTTGTAATTCTTTAGGTGCTGGGTCTTCAGCTCTGAAGAGACCATTTGAAGATGGATTAGGGGATGATAAAGATCCCAATAAGAAGATGAAACGGAACTTAAGGAAAAGTACTTAAAATCTTTATTCTTATAGATGTATAGTAGAAAGGATTTATAGTGTCAGGAAAATAAAAATTACAAAGTGAAGAATTGAATTGATTTGAATGGGGGTTTTTGGAATAGATCTTCACTGAGAAATTGATGATTAAATAACTTCTTTTGTTTCCAAGTGTCATTGCTTTGGACAGTGATTTTCAACCCTTTTCGTCTCATGGCACACACAAACTAATTACTAAAAATCTGTAGCACACCAAAAGGTGTATTATATTTTTTGCCGTTCTGACAAAAAATATAGGTATAGGTAATTTTGATTCATTGTTGTATTGGCTGTCATTTTTTTATTTGACATCTAAGAGAAAAGAGGTAAGTGCTGCTGACTAATAGGTACTGTATTGCATATTTTAAAAATTCTTGTGGCATATTGATTGAAAATTGCTGGCTTAGTATATATTAATATTGCCAAACTAAAATTAATGTATAAGATATAGTAACACATACTACTTTTATAGTGATGTTGCCATAATAATTTAGAAGTAATTTTATAATTGTTTATGAAGTTAATTTATATATGTGTTTTTTAAATTCTCGCTTTTAAAAAATCTGAGTTTATAGTGGTCACTGGAACCTACAAATGCATACATTAAAGCAAAATGGTTTAATGTCTGATCTCTTCTTTAACAGTTTTGGATAGTAAAGCAATAGACCTTATGAATGCACTAATGAGGCTAAATCAAATCAGGCCTGGGCTTCAGTATAAGCTCTTATCTCAATCTGGCCCTGTCCATGCCCCAGTCTTCACAATGTCTGTAGATGTGGATGGTACAACATACGAAGCCTCAGGACCATCCAAGAAAACAGCAAAACTTCATGTAGCAGTGAAGGTACTGTATGTCTTTTATTTACCTGTGCTTTGTTATTTTATGTTGTAGATAAAGTGCTTATTTTCCTATAGGAAATTAACTGAATTTTTTATATATATTTTTTAAATCCTTACCCAGGGACATTTTTTGATATTTTGTTCAGATAGAGTGGGAGGGAGAGAGAGAAAGAAACATCGACGTGAAAGGGACACATCGAGTGGTTGCCACCCGCACGACCCAACCAAGGCCAGGGCCAAACTGCAACTGAGGTACGTGCCCTTAGCGGGAACCGAACCCGGGTCTTTCCTGACCGCAGGCCAAGGCTCTAACCGCTGAGCCAAACCGGCCAGGGCAAATTGTTTAGATTTTAATAATATAAAGAATATTGTCATTTCTGGGTCACAAAATTCTTTTTTGGTTGTAAAATGTGTTGATTATACAAAATTTGGGAAATACAGAAGGAAAAGTAAGAAATAAAAATGTCAGTTGTGTATCTGAGGCAGATGATTAATAGTTATATACATATGTTTTATTTATGTACAGTTTTTATTTTATTTTTTTTTTATCCTCATCCGAGGACATTTTTCCATTTTTTGTACAGACAGAGTGGGAGGGAGAGAGAGGAAGAGAGAGAGAGGGAAACATCGATGTGAAAGGGACACATCGAGTGGCTGCCACCCGCACGACCAACCAGGGCCGGGGACAAACTGCAACCGAGGTACGCGCCCTTAGCGGGAACCGAACCCGGGTCTCTCCCGACCGCAGGCGGACGCTTTAACCGCTGAGCCAAACCGGCCAGGGCTTATGTACAGTTTTTTTTGTTTTGTTTCTTTTTTTAGGTTGAGCTTATAGTGTATATGTAACTTTATCCTCAGGTTTTCTTTATTTAACATGTAATGAGTGTTTTTCCATGTATTAAAAGATTCATAAGTAATATTTAATGGCTGTATGAGTAACATGATATAGATGTAATGTTATTTCCTTATCATTGGATATTTTGCTGTTTGCAGATTTTATTTTTTTTATCCTCACCCGAGGACATTTTTCCATTTTTTGTTCAGGTAGAGTTGGAGGGAGAGAGAGGAACGGAGAGAGAGAGAGAAACATCGACGTGAAAGGGACACATCGAGTGGCTGCCACCCACACGACCAACCAGGGCCAGGGATAAACTGCAACCGAGGTACATGCCCTTAGCGGGAACCGAACCCGGGTCCCTCTGGACCGCAGGCTGACTGTTTGCAGATTTTTTTTCTGCCATAAATTTGGTCATTACCTTTGTGCATGGGACCTTTTCTGTATTTCAGAGTATGTTTTAGGGAATACAGTCCAGGGTTGAACCAATTAGTCATTCACGTAGGTTTGTGGAAAATGTCTAAATATTGGAATCTCTCTAAAAGTACATGCGACCTCTTGCAGAGGCATGTGAAAATGTCAGAGGTCATATAGACTGAAGATCAGTTTTCACTTATGTTCTGTTATGGAACAGTATAAGATATAATTAGTCTGTTTTCATGATCATTCCATTTTACAAGTATAGTTAATGTAGATGCAAACATTATCCTAGAACTAAGGATACAAAGTCTTTGCCCTCCTGGAGCTTGCATTCTAGTGTGATAGGATGGGAAAACAGACAACAAATATATAAATAAATAAATTACATGTCAGGTAATAACAATGCAAAAAAAAATAACTAAGCTTTAAAAATATGAAACAATATTTATGTTCTGTCTTGTTTATAAAACAGGTATTTTAGGTATGATGAAATAGTATGAGTTTATGAGGCAGAAGAAGAAAGCCAAGAATGAGGGAAAAGGTGAATCCAGGAATAAGGCTAAAAATACAGTTTGATAATTTAGCTACAATGTATGCTGAGAACAAGTCACAAATATAGACCTAGGTTCTCTGACATCTGACATAAAAAGCATGTAAAATATTGATGTACTATCTATGACATAAGAATGGACAGGACATTTGTTTATGAGAGTCACAGTTGTTTTGGCTTAAAGATCAGGTGGGCATTCTCCTTGGGTAGGTCTTCATAAAAAGGGGATAGCAATCATATCCTTTAAAGGCACCTATGATGCAGAGATACAGTTTGTGGGTTGTTTTTGTAATAACTTGTAATATGAGTGACCTCATAGCAAGTTGCAATCCAGCAAAATTTGGGTGAGTTAGTAGAGTGGCAAATTTTGCAATAGGACAAGATTTAGATGCTATTTGTTCTCATAATAACCGTTAATATTTTGGTATGTATTCCACCCCTCACCCCTTAACCTACAATTGCAAAATTCAAAAAATACTGAAAATGAAAAATACTTTCCTAAGTTTGATGCAAACTCACTTTATGGGAAAACCTGACCTGAATTGATGTGTGGTTATTTTTATTTACTTTTTATTCCATTTAGTGTGAATATTTTATATATTTCTTTGCCCAAACATGGGGTAGCACCTGAGATACCACTGGAGATTTGCAAAATATATTGTAGTAGCTTTCTAAACTCTGAAAAGTTATAAATTCTCAAAATAATCTGGCCCCAAAGATTTCAGGTAAGGAGTGATGGGACGTACCAAATATATACTTAAAATAGGGTCATGTTTTCTTTATTCATCTAAAAATATATTTATTGTCTTTTATAGTTATCACAAAGATTGTTCTCATTTCTACTGATGGCCTAATATTTCATTATTATCATTCCACCACAATGTCACGTATCCTCTTTTAGAGTTAGATGCTTCCTGTTGATTGCTTTACATCTTTTTTTACATCTTTTTGAACTAGTATGATTTTCCCTTAAGATATATTCAACAGATGGAATTATTAGGTCAAGAAGAAAGCCCATTTGAATGATCCATTAATTCATTATATGTATTGAGATTTCTATTGTCAGGCATATATTGCCATTCATAAGGTTATATACCACGTTACAGGTTCTGTATGAGTTTGAGAGTTTTATATCCAACATATGTTTATGAAAGGAGGTCCCACTTGATAAAAATCTTTGCATTCCTTATTCAATAGCTTGGGTAGGAGGTAGTACCTGTGAAGACAAATCATACCATAGAATCAAAACAAGAAGAGATCAGTTTCTGCCACAAGAGCCTAGCTGCTCAGCATCAGGCAACCTACAGCGGTCAATCTTCTCTTTCCTCTTCTAATTCATTCTCTTTAGATTCACAAAGAGCACCTTTAGGGACAAAATCAGCTGTATTTCATGGAAAGACTCTTCTTCATTGCGGGGAAAAGATTAGTTAGAATGGGGCACAAGGTGAAGGCTCTTTAGAGAGGTTCTTGCAGCCGTCAGTCTCTGTCAGCCAGCCACAGATGTGACATTGTTTTGAGGGGAGAGCTGTAGGATAGATGCGTGTTTATGTGTTTTCTTTTCACTCTTGGCCCCTAGTCTTTTGGGGTCATCTTTATCAGTCTCAATCCCTCTCATGAGAAAAAAAGACATGACTACACTGGATTTCCCAGTCACCTTGTGTTCAGAAAGCATCTTGTAAATTTCAGCTCATTTGATGTGTTTATTATGTTGGGTTTGTTTCCTAGACATTTGAAACTCACCTTTCTTTGGTATAGTGGGTTTTTGGCCTTAATTTTCATTTCAAACAAACTTTCATTCCAGAGCTCTGAGAACTCACTTTTTAAAAAAACTTTTATAGCATATACTAATCACTGAATTATGTATTCATAGAAAATGACTTAATTTGATATTTTTGTCAGTTGAGGCATTGCGAGTATACTGTAGCCATGTTATATATACGATAGATGTATTGAAATAAGTTACTATAATAACAAGTAAATAAATGAATTTGATACGTGAGAAAAAGGCAGAGAGAAGTGATGGTAAGTAATTTAAATGAAGCTAAATTTAACTGTTAAATTGGGGAAACTGCATGTCTCCAGTTTTTATTAGAGTAAACAAATCAAATTTACGGGTGACTCTTGGCTTTTGAGTTGCAGCTTGTTACCTAGTGTTAATTCCAGACTAATAACTGTTCTCTCAGAGACGTGATTTCTCAGGAAGAGGATATTTGCAAGACTCAGTGGAGTAGATGTTTTCTTTAGAAAATATTGGTGAGGATATAACCAAATGATGTGAGTGTGCTTAGTGTAAAGAACTACCTGACCACTTTTAGAATTCAGGATGTTAATAAAAAGGGCTCTTGGCTTTATTATCTATCAATATAAGGAATTCATTTATGATTTGAAGTGTTCAGCAGAATGCCAGATTTTTCATATGAATTGGGTCAATTAATTTCAAGTTCTCTTGTACAGAGTTCTTATGCTCTTTTTTTGTTTAGAGTTATACTACTTTATTTATATTGGTAATCCTTTGTATAAGATGACATTGTTTATAAAGGCTGGGCTGCCTGGCTGGTCATTTGTGTGATTATCAGAAGAGTTTATATTTGGTCTTTTGAAAACCAACTTTATTGAGGTATAATTTATATACATACAGTAAAATTAATCATTTATTATATATGGTTTTGACAAATGTTCATAATCATGTAACCACCTTGGTCAAGATATAAAATACTTCTTTCACCCACAAATTCCTCTTCTGTCCTTTTGTAGTGAATCCCCTTCCAGGTCACCAGCCCCTGGCACCCTCTAATTAGTTTTTAGAGTAGTTTTTTGAGAGATACCTGTTAGACATAGCTGGGATTATAAAAAAGTAGATGTGCTTTTACATTTTACATTCCAGCAACTTAAAACATTAGTCAAAAGCTAAAACAAATATAGGGGTCTTTAGGAACCTATCTCTATATTTGCTTATATGAACCTTTAAATTCGTAACTGATAATGCAATATCAACCCGTTTTAAAGAGGCTTATAAAAATGCTGGTAAACATATTCTCTTGTAAACTGAAAAGCTGTGTAATCTAGAAGGAAGTTTTAAAAGGCATGCTTGCATCTGTTTGTGTGGGTGTACACACACACACACACACAGTTCTGAGAACCTTATTTTAAAAAAGATTAGAAATGCCAGGCATTGAATGGGACTGTAAGAAGAATGAACATTGGAGGTAGCCAAGCCATAAAGTAACCAGTCCTTGTGAGGATGGGATAGAAATACAAACCTAAAACTGTTCCTGGTTCACTTAACATAGAGAATAAACCTAGAGACTGAATCTTTTTATTCAAGTCTCATTATGGTTTAAGTTAAAAGCCAAGAGGTCAAAAGTAGAAAACTTTAGATGTTATTTTATAATTGACCGGAAAATTGATTCCAAGTTTAAGAAAACCTCCGGATTGCCTTTCTTTGCTAATTTCTCCTAATGGATTGAATCAACTAATCAGTCTTCCTGTCTTGCAAATTAGAAAATTGAGGACCAGAGGAGAAATATAGGAATAGGTCCTGATGTCTTTTCCTTTCTAGTCCAATGAATGTACTTTTTACAATGTGCTATTTTACTTTTGCTCTCACCTCATTGGTTGAACTTGTCTATGCTGTTTATTTTCTCTATCTCTTATCTCCAAATAAAATGAACCTGGAGCAACCTCAGGTTTGCATTTCTATCAATTCTTTATTTAAACCTAATTACTCTGAGGAGGCTTTCCCAAATTTTATGGTGATAACACTGGTAGGTAAAACCAAGGATTTGTAGATTTAGTGTCATCTTGCTCTTCCTCCAAGATAGTTCATGAATTCAAATGTTGTGGACTTGAAAATGTTGTTCTCAGTATTTCATTGAGTGTCTGTGGTTTGAATAAAACTGAATCTTAATGTAATTTGTACAGGTGTTGCAAGCAATGGGATACCCAACAGGCTTTGATGCAGATATTGAATGTATGAGTTCCGATGAAAAATCAGATAATGAAAGCAAAAATGAAACAGTGTCTTCAAACTCAAGCAATAATACTGGAAATTCTACAACTGAAACCTCCAGTACCTTAGAGGTATACTTATATATTTTTTCCTTAGAAAATAATGTTCTTTGTAGAAAATTTGAGGGAGATGGAAAAATATAAATGAAATCAAAAGCATATACAAACATCTATATTCTAGAGGCAGCCATCATTAATATTTTGGTTATTTCCATCCAGCAGTTTTACATCTTGTTATTTTTGTTTTTAGTTTTCCATTTAATTCTTAAAATATCAGTGAAAATCTCTGGCCAGTGTGGCTCGTTTGGATGGAGCGTTGTCCCGCAAACCAAAAGGTTACTGGTTGGATTTCTGGTCAGGGCACATGCCTGGGTTGCTGGTCGATCCCCGTAGGGGTTGTGCAGGAAGTAGCTAATTGCTGTTCTGCTCCCACGTTGATGTTTCTCTCTCACACTCTCCTTTCCCCTCTCTCTCAAAAAAAAGTAAAAATATATCCTCAGGTGAGGATGTAAAAAAAAAAAAAATAAAAATATCTGTAAATGTATTATGTACTGCCCTGGCCAGTTTGGCTCAGCAGTTAGATCGTCAGCCTACAGTTCAGAGAGACCCGGGTTCGGTTTCCGCTAAGGGAGCACGTACCTCGGTTGCAGTTTGTCCCCGGCCGTGGTTGGGTCATGTGGGTGGCAGCCACTCAATGTGTCCCTTTCGCATCCATGTTTCTCTTTCCCTCCCTCCCTCCCTCCCTCCCTCCCTCCCTCCCTCCCTCCCTCCCTCCCTCCCTCTCTATCTGAACAAAAAATGGAAAAATGTCCTCGGGTGAGGATAAAAAACAAAAACAAAAAAAACATATCGTGTACTGCACAACATATTTAACTAGCATTTCCCTTTTGCCACATTTCGCAAGTATATTAACAATAACTGAAGAGCAAAAAACCAAAGGTCTTTTGGAGAAAATTTAGGATTATTTGAAGTTTGTGCTAAGTTGGGGGCAGTGGGTCATCATTGAGTTGGACCAGCTCTGAGAAAAGCATATAAAATCCTTGACATAGTATGTTCCTCAGACTCTGGAGAAGTCCTGGCTTATGAGCTTATAACCACAGACAACAAAATGGGGCAGAATCCAAGCACTGTATTTACAACATATTGGAGAATTAGTCGAGCCCTTGTTTATTGCATTCTACGTAAGAAGAATTGGCTTTCAAGTAACAGCAAGAGCTTAGGTTAACATTTAAAGCATTTTGTCATTTGTAAGAATAAGTATTTATTAAGGACTAAACTATTTTTAGTACCTGCTTACTGCCAGTTGCTGAGGAAATTGTGTCCAGCGCCTCAAGATGCCCTCAGGCCAAGAGAGCAAAAGACATATTTATAACTAATTATACTGTAATGTGATTAGTTCTTTGCAAAATGAATATAATAATGTCAAATCTCTAAGTAGGAAGTGATTGTGAAATTTACACACGTGTAAACTCAAAGGGACTAAAATGTAAGCTAGGTTTTAGATGATGAGTAGAATTTTTAAGGGAAGAGGTGGAAAGCAGGTGTTCTAGACGGAAGGACTAGTAGGTGTAAAGGATTTGTGAAAGAAAATGTGTACAAGTGCCAGGTGGGCCGATGTAGAGCCTGAGGGGCCAGGAATTGTAAGAACCGTGCCTGACTGCGTGTGATGTTGTGGAGGACAGAAGACATGATGCCTGCCTTTTGAGAGGACTAGTCGGTCATTCACAAGTGGAAGTCATAAGCAGGGCAAATGTTTTCCTGGCAGTGTTAGAAATACTGAGAAATAGCTCATTAATTATGAGGCTCAGACTGTTAAGTTCAGAGGGAACTAAGAAGGGAGAGCGCAGGGTGGCAGCCACGAGTATGTGGAGCTTTTGGTAGTGAATACATCAGAGCTTTGTTTCTGTGTGATGGAATCATTGGAGCAGGGACAAAGCCCTAGTCATTCCAAGTAGGAGTGGCTGATTAGAATGCAAATATTTTTATGTCTTGACACATTTTTATAAAAGTGCTTTCAGATTTGGAAAGCAGAGAGAGATCACCATAGACTGGTTTTAAAAATTATTACCTTTTAAAGCTGGAGACTGGGAAATTTGCCTTGAAATTTTTAAAATGTAGATTGTAAAACCTCTTCAAGAAGTGATATTTATTACAGAAGATCCAGAAGTGTTTATGAAATTTGTCTTTAAAAATAGTCCAATGTTTTACTTCTATAGCATCGACCACTTATCAAATCAGCATATAGTACTTATTAAGAGAATCCTGCTGTCCATTAGATTTATTTTAATCCTCACTGAGGATATATATTTTTTCTATTTATCTTCAGATAGAGTGGGAGGGAGAGGGGGAGAGAGAAAAAGAGAGACAGAGACAAATATTGACTGGTTACCTCCTGCAGGACCTGCATCAGGGCTGGGGATGAACTGCAACTGAGGTACGTGCCCTTGATTGGAATTGAACTGGTGACTCATTGGTCTGCAGGTCAGCGCTCTAACTGCTGAGCCAAACTGGCCAGGGCTCCATCAGGTTTATATACATAATAATTATTTTGGGCATTCATTTCTTGGTTCAGCATTTCTTGAGCAATTACTGTGGTGGAATTAAAGACATGATCGCTAACCTCAAAAAGTCCTCAATCTTTGGGTCTTTCTCAAAATCATAGCTGTAATATTTTGCAGTTTGTTATATTTTTGGTGCTAACTTCTCTCTTCACTTGAGCCTTCACACTCTTACATGAATTACTTTTCTTCCATCTACTCTTACCCTTCTTCAAGTCAGTTCTTTCTACCACTTCTAGAGTAATTTTCTACAACAGAAATTTAATTATGAACTTTCCTAGGTGAAAGTCTTTTCAGTGGTTCTCCACTGTCCAAGACACAAAGCCCACGTGCCTGGTACAAATTCCTTATGATTTGGCTCCACCAAGGGTGTTTCCAGTGAGGTGTTCTACCTTACTCTCCTCACCCCTTCATTCAGCCCAACTGAACTTCTTGATGTTTCTCCTGTCCAGAATGCCCTTCGCCTTTGTTTCCTCCTTATGGTGATCTGGCCCTTCCCTTTTGTGGGTGAGTTCACATCGTCACTTACAGGAGAACCATCCTGATGGCCCTAGGAAGTGATTTCTTCTATTATGTTTCCATAACTTATACCCATTCTATAATATACATTGTTTTACAGTGACTTTATCTGTCTCTCCCACTACACTCTAGCTCCTTGAGGACAGGGAATGACTACTTTTATTGCTTTTTTTAAATTTCAGAAATCCATGGGTTTTCCGTTGGGATGGCAACCCCCTGTTTTCACCGTACTTGCCCTTACATCTCTTTAGAGCAGTGGTTCTCAACCTTCTTAATGCTGTGACACTTTAATACAGTTCCTCATGTTGTGGTGACCCCCAGCCATAAAATTATTTTTGTTGCTACTTCATAACTGTAATTTTGCTGCTGTTATGTCTTAGGTGACCCCTGTGAAAGGGTCATTTGACCCCCAAAGAGATTGCAACCCACAGGTTGAGGACCACTGCTTTAGAGAGACAGAGAGATGTGAATGGGCAGTTTCTTTTCATCTCCCAACAAAATTGAGTTATTTTTATCCAAACACTAACAGTGAAAGTACAGTGAATGCTTAGGTATCATGTGAATCTCAACTGTTCTAGCCTCTTTGTTCGTCATTTAGATGATAGTTCTTAGAACATGAGCACCACAGATCGGACTCTAGCGCCAGGTAAGGGTGAGGCTGCATTGCTCTTGAGCGCTGATCTGCTGGGACAGCCCTGCTTCAGAGGCAGTCAGCCCCATGACTGACTCCGATGTCTATTGCTTGTAGAGTTTCCATACCATTCAATGTACTTCATCAATTGTCTATGGAGCTGACAGTGCATTAGCCCCTAAATGCTTTAAAATGCAATTTTGAGCCTCTTTTTCAACAGAGACATAGTAGTATTTTATAATAAGAAATTTAATACTTTGAAATCTTGCTTGATTGAATTATTTCCTTTTAGGTAAGAACTCAGGGCCCTATCCTCACAGCAAGTGGCAAAAATCCTGTGATGGAGCTCAATGAAAAAAGAAGAGGTCTTAAGTATGAACTCATCTCGGAGACTGGTGGAAGCCATGACAAGCGCTTTGTGATGGAGGTGTGTACCTGGATACAGGCCAACTGGTTTCCCCCTCAGAAACATCCTGAACTTACATGTAAAGGAGTGTTAGACTGAGTCAATTATTGTGGCACTATTTGCCTTTTGGTGTTTTCTGTGTCTTGATCCATTTAAATTAAACTACACAGAGGAGTTGCATGGAATAACTGCGGAGTGTTTGTTCCTGATTTTAGGTGGAAGTAGATGGACAGAAATTCAGAGGTGCAGGTCCAAATAAGAAGGTGGCAAAGGCGAGTGCGGCGCTAGCTGCCCTGGAGAAGCTGTTTTCTGGACCCAATGCAGCAAATAATAAGAAAAAGAAGGTTCTCCCTCAGGTATGAGTTGAGCATTAACCCTTTGTAATACCTTTGAAAATTATTCCCTGAATTAAGTTTGCTTTTTTGTTTTTGTGCCTCTTTTAGCTTTTTCTGAAATTATTTGTTTTTCTTGGATTTAGCAATCTTTTCTTTGGATTAGGTCATTAATAATATAAATGTCATTGGTTCCCTGTTCTGTGCTTGTTCTAGGCAAATTATATATTAAAAAGAGACTGCTAGCATTATTTGGGGCCTTCAGGTCATTCTTGACTAGGTGGAATGTTGAGGGATTTGGACTTGAATGAGATGTTAGCATTTGTCTGGTTTAGGGAAGCTGCCAAGAGGACTTGGGCTTTCTTTCATTAGCCTGCAGATGCTCTTCCATTTCCTTTTCAGTTTTGAACTTTTGCAGTATTTGTTTTGGGTTTTCTGTTGGGATGGCACAGTAGAAGTTGACCCTGTGTTGCTTCTGTTGATTGGGAATATCAGTGCTACTAAAGCCTGGGATTAGCAAGGTATTTGGAAAAGATGGCCTCCGAATTCCATACTTTTGGATAACAGAGTCTTCTAACCATTTTTTTTTAATGCATTCAAAAATATTTTCTAGACATATACCATGTGCATGATTGTGAAGGAAAAAAGACACAGATATAAGTATTACACATTCTCTCCTTCATGGAGAGTACTTGTGTAATAATGTCTGAATATATTATGTGATAGAAAAAACAATTAAAATATTGATGGTAGAGGTTTTCTTTAAAAGCAGGTTCTTCTCCTTCCAAAGACATGAGCATTCTATTATTGCTTACTATACCATGTTAGAAACTTGTTTTGTGTTCAACTTCTTTTTACTATAATAAACACTGATTAAATTTAGGATTCGAAATATAAACAAGTAAAACTGACTTTTACTGAAATTAAATAAAAATAACGTTTAAATTGCAAAGGAAGACGTGTAGAGAGAATGGATTTTGTTTTCCTAAATCGTCTAGAATATGTTCTAAATTAGGAGATAGATCATTGTTACCTTGTTTACTTTGATATGAGTTACATCTTGTAATTTGTCAGTTCATTTGTGTTTAAAAAGCCTATGTGCAGCCCTGGCCAGTTTGGCTCAGCGGTTAAGAGCGTCGGCCTGCGGTCCGGAGAGACCCGGGTTCGGTTCCCGCTAAGGGCACGTACTTTGGTTGCAGTTTGTCCCCGGCCTTGGTTGGTCGTGCGGGTGGCAGCCACTCGATGTGTCCCTTCACGTCGATGTTTCTCTCTCTCTCTCCCTTCCTCTCTCTCCCTCCCACTCTATCTGTACAAAAAAATGGAAAAAATATCCTCGGGTGAGGATTAAAAACAAAAAACAAAAAAAAGCCTATGTGCAGAGACTTATTAGGTAGATAAGTTTGGTTCTAGAAGGAATTACCTCGATTTGTGTGAGGTCACTCTGTTACTGCCAGATTGTTCCTTCCTGACTACTTTTGAATAAATGTCTGCTAGAAGTTCACTCATTTTTAGAAATTTTCCATACTAGAAGCTATAGAACTCCTGCGTTCAGTGTGCTTAACAGCCAAGAAGCAGTGTGTTTTGGATGTGTGGGTTGATTTTTCTCAGCCAGAAAGGAAAATGGCAGTTCTCTGTGCATGATATGTTCATTCTTGAAACTGCCTTCTGCCCAGTCATACTAGCAGTGGAGGCTGACCGAGGAGGAGCAAAGGGTGGTGGTGTCTCCATGTGAGATGGATGCCTGTCTGCTCTGAGACACTGTGACTTTGTCGTGCAGGGAGCTCGGAGGCTCTGCCTCCTTCCCTGTTCCTTGTTTGCGGTAGGGAATATTAGTAGTTTCTAGCTTTTCATTAAAAAATAAGTATAATATTTAATTTAAAACTAGATAGTCTTTGGTTCTCTTAACATTTTGCTTTTGGAAAGGGGTGTTTTAGCAGCCCTGTTGTTATTCCTTGATTTAGTCAACTTTTCAGAGTTTTATCTCTATCTCTATCTCTATCTCTATCTCTATCTCTATCTCTATCTCTATCTCTATCTCTATCTCTGTTTATCTATTTATATATCTATATTTTAAGCTGCTCTTTCTACTCTGAAGTAAAGAAAGCACAGTGGGCATCATCTTCCTCATTTTACAATTAATTACTGGGCAGACTCCCCTTGAGAGATTATAGGATTTTACCAGACTCCATGCATTTTAGAGCAAGAAGGGACTTTGAATTGGTATTTATTTATTTAAAAACACACACACACACATACACACACACACACACACACACACCAGAAGAAACACACCAAACACACACACAAAACAGAAGAGACAGGCTCAAGGAAATGACATGTCTTTCCTAAGGTCTTAATAACTTAGAGCAGAAACTGGCATCCACATCTTCTGTCTTTCTATCTCAGTCCTGTTTTACAAAAACCCCATTCAGGTTCTCAGTTTGTTCTGGGTAGTTTGCTGTTGCAGTATTTTTTGTCTGTGGCTGGAGAAGTCAAGAATTTTGATCAAGTGTTTATAATTACTTTAGTCAGACTTTGGATGTAATTTGATACTGAAATGTGTATGTAGGAAATGAACTCTTTTGGGGGTAATCTTCAAGTGAAAAGAAATTATTTGCATACTTTTATGTGCTCAGCATATTCTCCAGAACAGCTCTGTAACGTAAGCATTGTTTCCATTCTGCAGATGGTAAAGTGAAGCTTCAAGGTCATAGACGAGGCACTGTCTCATCTACAGCCTCAAGTTTCTCATAGAGGTTGTACATTACAGAGACGATAGGATGGTAGTTCTTCTCTCTCTCAGTAATGAAAATGTGTTATTTTTAACAGGCAAAGGGTATTGTGAATACAGCTGTGTCTGCAGCAGTCCAGGCTGTTCGGGGCCGAGGAAGAGGAACTCTGACAAGGGGAGCTTTTGTTGGGGCTGCAGCTGCTCCTGGCTACATAGCTCCAGGTACAGTACAATCTGTAAGAGATCTGCCTCGTTTTCTGGGTCAAAGTTTGAGGAACAGCATCTCCTTTATTTTCCAAGGTTATACACAATCTCTGGAAACATAACACAGGTATAGGATGGGTGTGCACAGAAATTCAAAAGAAGAGAATCTACATAATGTCATGGATTTTCTTGTGGAATCTGCTGACTAGAGGCTTTCTGGTGGGCAGGACAGACGAGCAGTGTTATTGTCTGTTGGAGGGATGTGTTTTGACAATGAGGAAGCTAAAGATGTCCCATAGTTTGAGGAATTTGTATTGAGGAGCAGAGTGTATTCAGTGGGGACATAGAAGACAGGTTGGGTGTTAACAGCACAGAAAAATAACTGCTAAGAGATTAGTTAATTGGGGTGAAGCCAGGCCATTATTAGCATTTCCTTAACTCTGTCTTTGGGAACGATAACAGACTAAAGAAGTACAAAAAGGGGAACTTACTTATCCGAGCTTACTATACACCAGATACTTTTTTTTTTTTTTAATCCTCACCGGAGGACATTTTTCCATTTTTTGTTCAGGTAGAGTGGGAGGGAGAGAGAGGAACAGAGAGAGAGAAACATCGATGTGAAAGGGACACATCGAGTGGCTGCCACCCGCACAACCGACCAGGGCCGGGGACAAACTGCAACCGAGGTACGTGCCCCTAGCGGGAACCGAACCCGGGTCTCTCAGGACCGCAGGCCGATGCTCTAACCGCTGAGCCAAACCGGCCAGGGCTACACCAGATACTTTTTATTTTTAATTTTATTTTATTTTACTTTTAATTTTAATTAATTTCATTTAATTTATTTAGAGAGTGAGAGGAAGGGGGAGGTGCAGGCAGAGAGAGAGAGAGAGAGCGCGTGAGCAGTTTTTTGTTCCACTTATTTATGCATTTGTTGATTGATCTTGTATGCGTCCTGACTGGGGATTGAACCTGCAACCTTGGCATATCAGATTGATGCTCTAAGCAACTGAGCCACCCAGCCAGGGTACTAACTACCTTCATGTAAGTGATTTCACTTAATTTTTTCTAATCCTCACAGTGTTTCCTCACGTAGAAGTTATTTCCGCTTTCCAGATGGGGAAGCTAAGGTTTAGGGAGATAAGGCCAAACAAAGAGTTGTATGTAGATTTTTGCAGTTCCAAAGTTTATCCTTTGCATTTTACCACATGGCTGAGGGAGATGGGAAAAGGTGCCTTCTCTCTGCCTTCTGTTCTCCCCCTTATGTCATTTCGGCAGTAGATGCACATGCTCCATTCAGTAGGCTCTCTGCAGTACTGAAGGTGTGGAGCTTTTAACCTGACAAGTAAGCTGCTTATAGTTGTTGATGAAGATGAAATTGTTACAAAGACTGGGTTTTAAGCCCTGGCCAGTGTAGCCCAGGCTGGTTAGAGCATCGGCCTGCAGTCCGGAGAGACCCAGGTTTGGTTCCCGCTAAGGGCACGTACCCCGGTTGTAGTTTGTCCCCAGCCCTGGTTGGGTTGTGCAAGAGGCAGCTACTTGACATGTCCCTTTCACGTCGATGTTTCTCTCTCTCTCCCTCCCTCCCACTCTATCTGAACAAAGAAATGGAAAAATGTCCTCGGGTGAGGATAAAAAAAAAAAAAGACTGTTTTAAGCAGATTGGATTTTATTTTTTTATGTAACACTTCTAAGTTTACTAGATTGTGGTTTTTTTCCTAAGAAAGAATTAGAATAGACTATTTGGGAAGCTGTATGGAGGATGGGATTTTGTAATTCTACTTCCAGAAGTTGATCCCAGTAGGGGAATAACTCAGAGATATGTCATGTACATAGTAGACTCATTCATTCAAATATTGTGTGCCTGCTCTGGCACACACTAGACATGGATTTTGCTCTGAAGGTGAGACATGCTAATCAAATAATTACTGTTATCAACTGAGATGACTCCATGAAGGAGAAGAACATGATTCTGTGGCAGGATATAACAGAGAATCCTGATCTAGTCTGTTGGGTCCCTGAAGGCTTCCCTGAAGAAGTAACACTTGAACTGAGCTTTAAAGACTGAATAGGAGTTAACTAGGGAAGAGTGTGGGGTGGAAGAGAGTTTCACACGGAGGGAAGAGCACGTGGAGAGACCTTGTGGTGCTGGTGGCAGGGAACTTCGCTCATTCGAAGATTTAGAAGGCCAGGATGTTCTGCGGGGATCCTTGGGTGGGGTGGGGTGGGGTGGGAGAGTGATTTGAGCTAAATGGATGCTCAGTCCCAGTCCAAACCCAGCTGGAGGCCATGGTTTGGATTTTGGTTGGAATCCTAAGTTGGGATGTTGTAAGGGTTCTAAGGAGAGAATTGACGAGATCAGGCTTTATTTTGCAAGATGACTCTAGTGTGATTGTAGAACAGGGTGGTCATGACAAGACAAGTTAAGGTTTTTGTAAACTAGTGGTCCCCGCAGGAAAGAGTGGGGTGTCTCCATTGGGTGTAAGGAAGTAGATAGGTGGCAGGAAATGAGTAGATTGAAGGATTCCTCGGAAGCAAAATTGATGGATTTAATATAGAGAATGAAAAAGAGTGACGTTTCAAGGCTATGTCCTAGGATTGTTACTAAAGGAATTCAACTAGATGATTGTACCACTGAAGGAGACATTGAGATGAGTGTCAGGGGGAGGGGGAGGGTAGTTATAGTTTGATATAGTTTGTGTCCAAATGAAGACATTCTTTTGTGCATTTCACTATTTCTACTGCAATTTAATAATTTTTTGCCTTGTTTACTGCATTATTTAAGGAAGCGGCTCTCATTTAACTATAATAGGCAAGTTACTGAGATGAGCTTTCTTGCCTTTGATTACATGTTCTGTTGGAGCTTCGTTGGTTGTGTCTGTGGTTGTTTAGTCTTGGAACGCTGGTTAACCTCCTGCTCAAGTGGTCAGCAGCCATTGTCTAATGGCAGTAAATCGCAAAGGGAAGCATTTCTCTTAGCTGTTGCCAGGTGTGTCTGCCTATAGCAGCTTCTCTCTTAGGTCATCACATCGACCTCTGAAAGGCCTGACTCCTGAAGCTTTTAAAAATGAAGTTCTCTTACAGCCTAGAGAAGATTCAGAGGAGGTCAGTTTAGATTATGAATAGGTTATCTGCCATTTGTGGAGTATACACTGTGCAGCAGGGGCTGTAGTTAAGTATCTTTACATATATTATTTAATTACATTTCCCTGTCAACTTAATTACTACAGAAGACTGTGAGGTTCAGAGGTTGAATAACAGGTACAATTCAAAGTCACCTTGGTAGTGAGAGGTGCAGTCAGGATTACAGCCCCCGTGGCCTGCTCAGTGGCCAGCTCAGTAATTTAGCTTCCTCTTTGTCTAAGGAGGTTGTGCTAAGACCCTTGAAACTGTAGCCTTAGCCAACCAGCTGCCTTTTCCTGTATTTGATGCATAATTCACTTTCTTAAGCATCAATTTCTCTTTTGGCCTCTGTTACGATTCCTACTCCTTATTTCTTTCTGCTTATTTCAGCTGCATGGTGTCCTCTTAAAGTAACCACTGAGTATCAAAGACTAAGAGTAAAGATGAGACTTAAGTTGTACTACCCCCAATTTTATAAAGTATAGACTAAAAGTGAAAAAATTTCATCTCTCAGGTAATGTTTCAATTAGTCCCTAAAAGCAGTTTACTTGTTCAGTGTACATTTCAGTGTTTTGTGTCAAATGATATTTGGAACTGGACATTCAAAGATGACCAAGACCTAGCATCTGCCCTAGTGAATGGTTGGGGTCAGATAGAGTAGGAACAGACACTTAAAGTAAACACCATACAATGTGATGTAAGCTGTAACATGAGTGGGCAAAGGAGTAACCAGCAAGCCTGGGAGACTTCACAGAGGAGGTGATATTTGTCCTGATGTAAATGATGAATTGTAATTGGTCAGTTAGAGAAGGAGGAAAAAGAATTCTAGCAAGAGAAATGATATAGATAAGGGGATTGTAATGTAAAAGAGCTTGCTTTGTTGTGGGTACAATGTGAAAGGCCCATGCATTTCGTGCCCTTGTTCTATTTTTGAAATCAGTTTTTCCAAGAAATTTACCCAAGTGATTTAGTATTTATATTTTTTAAAGTTGTTTTATTGAAAGATTAAAGATTGTAGCTTTTATTAATATAGTATTTCTAAACCCTACAACACTACAAAGTAGCTTGGAAGGTTCCCATTTCACAGATGAGGAAATGGCAGCTCAGATTCATATGTCTAAGGACATTAAAGACACTTGTGCCAGAACTGGTTCAAAATCTTTCATGTTCTTTATATATATTTTTTGACAATATGAACCTTTTTTCATAGGCACCAGATGCTAATGTCAATTTCACCTGTATTTACTGAGAGACCCTGTCCGGGGCCAGGAGTTCAGAGGGCAGCGAGGCATGGGCCTCGCCCTCTGGCCACAGCCTGACTCATGTGCCCTCTGCAATGGCGGCTGAAGCCCCGCCTGCTCTGCCACTGCTTTCTGCAAAGATGCTTGACAAGTTCTGTTTTCCACCTCTGAGGAATTGGTCATTTCAGTGGTTCTGAGTATTCTTTTGTTCTTTAGCCCGTGGTTACTATCTGCCAGACATTCTGCTAGGTTCAGGTGATGCAGAGTGTCTCTGCCTCTCTTCGGGGGAACGCAGATGAGGAGTCGATGATTACAATAGAGTGTGGTAAGTGTAGTGAGACAGAGACAGGATGTTCTGGTAGGTCAGGGGAGCCGTATGAGCCATGCAGAAAGCTTCCACTCTAAGCAGACCTGAAGGGATCAGTAGACCGAGCCAGTCTGGGAATGGTTCTCATTCATCCAGCATTTGGAAGAAGTCTTTAGGGCCCATGGTGCCAGGCCCGGTGGTACTTGTGAATTTGGCTAGTGCCAGCTCCCTTTGTCCTGGACTGATCTGCTCTCTTCTTCTTTGCACTAGGCTATGGAACACCATATGGTTACAGCACAGCTGCCCCTGCCTATGGTATGTACACGTCTTACTGGTTTCTCCTATTAGCGACTCTGTCACAGCAATCCCAAGCACAGTTTGTATCTAGGGTTTCTTTAAATGAATTGGAGGATCTCAGACCCATTCACTCTAGTGACCCAACTTAAATTCCCTTTGAAAATGCCACAACCTTGTGGTTCTGGGTTTGGTTGGAGTTGCTCTTCTCTCGCTTTGCCTGATTGAAGGACTGCTTGTTCTAATTGCCTGTTTCTGACCATACTGAAATTAAGTATTTTAAGTAGTTCTTACAGCCAACTTATACTCTATTCAAAGGCTACTGAAGGGCCAAACGCAGTTTCTAGCTTGGCTGCCTGCCAGTTATGTAGCTACACTGAAGTTTCTGGTTGGAAACTATGTGAACTGTGGGTGATTTAAGTTAGGGTAGGAAATGCTGGCTTCAAATTTGTAGCCATCATCCCTTTCTAGAAATTCTGCTTTAGAGGTGGAGTAAACAGATCCTAGAGAGGTGATGGGCAGCGCCAGCAGTGGTCCCAAAATGCTCACTGCAGAAACTGTAGTACGTGTTAGAAAATCACAGGAGCATCCCCCTCTCCTTTCAAAAATAAAACAAATGCAGGAGTGAACCTCAGTGGCCCTTTGGATAGCTTTTGAATGAGGTTTATGTGGCAATGGAGGCAAAAGGTTTGGAGTCAGTGATATGCCCTCTTAGACATTTTTCCTAACTCAGGTGCTACATGTTCTAGAATCAGCCATCTGCAGGATGTTTGTCATTGAGAGAAGAAGGGAACAAGTGTGTGTGTGGGCATGTGAGAGTGTGTGTCTCAGTGCAGCCCCTGGCTGGGCACACATGTACATGACAGGGAGACCCTGAGTATACGGCCACCTGGCCTGTTAGTCCTCCACATGAGCCTCAAGCCTTTCACTACCCTTTTCTCTTCATGCATCAGCTTCTCCATTTTTGTTTGGGTGAACGTTAAGACACTGCTAAATTGAAGCTTCATCTGGTTTCGTAACTGTAGAAATAAGTAGAAAGTGAACAGTTTGACCTTTTTCCCCTTTAAGAGAGACAGTTTATATCCTGGAAAGATGTGGAGAAGCCGCAGGGGTCAAATGTGTGGGAAAAGTTTTCTCAAGGCAAAGTGCAGAGTCTAGAGTTGCATCCTTTACCTGAATGTCTGTCCCCTCTGGCACACCCAGGTTGGGTCAAGGCTCCCCCAGATTCCCTTGTTCTCAGATCTGCGTGAGTAGGAAGAGAGGATTCATTCAAGAATGTGCTTTCACCCAGAATTGCCCCTGAAGTCAAACTGTCCTGCTCCTTTTGATTCTGGGTATCCTGAGTACTGCATCCTCCCTGTGACTCAGGTCTGCTCAGGGACCCGGACACGTCTGACCCACGAGCCTCACTCTGATGTGCTGTGTGAGCACCAGAGCATCTGCTCCGAGGGCAGGCCTCTCGTCTGCGTCTCTCTCTTAGTCAGTCTCACGTTCTTGATAAGGTTTGCTAGAGCTCCATTTTCCCTTTAAACACTTATTTCTAGGCTCTAAACTGCATTCATGTTTTTCCTCCATCTTTTTAATTTTTCTCTCTTGTTCCTCCCTTTTCTCTAACACTGCACTTTCACCCTGCGGCCTCTGAGCCCCACTACAGAAGGCTCCTCTCCTCAGTGTGCCATATAACTGACTTCCAAAGCTGCTGAAATTTGATGCCCCCATTTTTCACATAAAAGATTTGGTTTTAAATGTTAATGTGATGCCAACCTACTAAAACGATGCTTTATTTTGGCTGTAAGGTAAATATGTCTTTTGGCCTTTGTAAAGCTGTTGCATGTGGGGTACTCTCCCTCTGATCATCTGGTGCTCTTGAATACCTGCTGTTGCTGCTTTGTGATTTCTCCATAGGTTAAAGATTAGAAAAGAAATAGGAGCAGATTTCAAATCATGCTTGAGTATGCAGAAGTTTGCGAGGCCACAAGAACTCATTAATTACAAAATTAAGAAAGTAATTATTAATCTTTCCAGATTTGCCATGCCAATATTGGCAGTAGCCATTAGCAGGTGCAGCCCCTGGTCATGGCTCCACTTGGAGCTGTCTTTCTGGGGAGCTCAGGCCTGCACAGAAATATGTGCTTTCAATCTTGACAATCCGTTTCTCCTGTAGAAGGTGATTTGCCAAACGGAGAACGAATACAGATTTCTAGAGTCACTTTAGAATATTAATCAATAGCATTGCTTTTGATTTTTAGAATTCATGGCAGCTCACTCATATGAAATTGCTTTCTGAGTATCATTCTTCCTACAATTTAGCCATTTTAATATTTTGATAATATTTACCACTCCAAATTAAGAGCAATTTCAAAATTGGAGGTCTGTGAGAGATTGTGGGCCTCCTCCCAAAGGGTGCATGTTGACTGACTAATCTGGAAAAGGTTAATGATGATGATTCTAAGACTTTTTTTAACCTGGAATTTTTATTGGATTATCAAACTTATTCGGAGTCCTCTCCGTTTCTTTTCTCTGTAGGTTTACCCAAGAGAATGGTTCTGTTACCCGTTATGAAATTCCCAACATATCCTGTTCCCCACTACTCATTCTTTTAGCAAATGACAGAAGCTAATTCCTGTTGAACAACAGTACAGTACAACACAGAATGTTAGAGATAAAGCCTTTTTATCCTGCTTTCTTTGAAAACATACTTGATCAAAATTATTTGTAAAGAACATCTTTCCTACTTTTTGATTTTAACAAATGCAAATTTAGTTCTCTAAAACTTGAAAACAAACAAAAAAAGAAACTAGTTTGTGAAACGGTACCTCATTTCCAGAAAATAACTTATACCAGCCCTTCTGTTGTAGGGAAATAAGCCTAGCAGTTCAGAGTTTAAGAGGAGTATCAGATTATGTAAAATTAAATTTGTGAAGGATGTATAGAGTCTCAAACACTGATCACAAATAAACTGCTTTGTTGTACCACAGAGTACTGCCTGGTTCGTGACGCAGCCACTTGATTCTAGCTGATTGATATGTATCTGCCCCAGGGCACTTAATTCAGGCTGTAGTTATTTTTTTTTTTAATACAATAGAGACTTTTCATTTAACTTTAACTTTGTAAATATTGAAGTGTGTAATTAAAGCCAATAAAATATGGGTTTGAATATTGTTTTAGCTTATTATTTTTGATATGTTTTGGTATCAAATTACAAGGAATTGAAAACCAATAATAACTTAGCCCTAGAAACCCATCCATTTGTAAGCAAACTGCTAAAGTAAAGCCAAGGCGGTTGTGAGTCCTGGCAGTAGCCTTACTTTGTGAGCCCTTCGTGCCCTGCTGTGCAAGGGCTTCCCCACGATCAGGGGGTTCTGTTACCCGAGCATTGCTTATCAGGACGATGGCACCACCCAGAGATGGGAAAGGAGGAATGTGATTATTTTAGTTTCTGAATTCCCAAGTTTTAAAAAATAATAAATTAATCAATCAGTCACCCTCTCTTGTTCTTGTGGCCTTCTTCACTCTGTAAGAAACTGTGCTCACTCCCTGGTTTTTTGATGCAGATAGAAGATTAGCAATTTTTCTGGGGTTCATTGAAGGGTCTTTTTTTCCTCTTCAATTACATCAGAATCTAAAGCAGCAACAGGGTCCCCATAAAAACTTGCTCTTCGATTGTCCCAGTTCTTGTTGAGTGCTGCTGTGAAAAGTGACAGGTTTCAGCCATGGGTCAGCATTTATTTTTAAGACACCTGGTTAAGCTGGTGACAGATGATGAGTTGGTGCCATTGTGCTATTCTGTAAAGGGTACAGACCTAAGTCTTCCACTTGCATTCTCACCTTGTTTGGAAGGCCTATGATGTTACTAGAAGGTAATGGTTTCATTAAGGTACTCACCCCCATGAAGGCAACAGTGTGGTCCCATGTCGATATTTACAAGTTGCTGTGTCTTAAAAATGTCTGTTTTTAGTATGAATTAGCTTCTTCCCTCTCAGATTCTGTTTCTCAGAGCGGAACACTGCCCATCAGTGAGAATGGGCTTCACAAAATGTGGCAAATTGATGTACCAGGTTCTTTGGGACCACTAAATGAGAATGAAATGGGCAATTAAAAACAAATGCTAGCATCACATCTCAGACGTATATTTATTACACAGTGGTTTGTTTGTTACTTCTGCTCCTTGACCTTTTGTCTTTATTAGTGGTGGGTGATTCTTTAATAAAACCTCATCACTTGCTAGAAACAGCTGTGAACTTGTCATTCTCGTCCTGTGCATTAGTGGCTAGACATAAGCAGGAGGGCCCATTTTGGCTGGGAGTTTTCATGTTTCATTGATTTGTTTTGCTGACCTATGGATGAAACAGAGCCATCACTGAGAAGAAAAAGCATGGCTGGTAGTGTCCAGTTTTTATTAATTAAATATTTACAATAGTCCTCTTTGTTTTTGGAATACTATTAATTGGCAGCTGCAGCTGTATTGTCATTTGAAATTGATCGTCAAATTTGCATTCCAAGTTGGAATCTCTCTGGAGATTTCTCTTTAGAAAATTCTTTTGAAGTAGCTGACTCAGCTTCATAGCTCAACCCCTGGATAATGGTGAAAAGGGAGCTGTGCTGTTTTCCAACATGATGGCAGTCATTTCAAATGGTTTCTACCAAGTCCTTTTTTTTTTAAATTTTGTTGTTTGTTGGAAGTTACTAACCATGTTGTAAACCTGCCCAGTTGCTGCAAACTTTTACATTTCTCTGCTTTACTTAAAATAATTGAGCTGTCAGTCCTTTGTTAGAAGTGGTAACCATTGCAAGTTCAACTGTTTCAATTTTGTAATGAATTAAGTGTCCCCCTCCTTTTGCCCTTCTCACCCCTCCATTTTGTAATGAAAATTCCACTTACAGCTGAAAGAGCAGAGAAATATAAATGAAGCTCTTGGCTTCACCAAATTCTGTGAAATTAACATAAAGTTTTGCTTCTCTGCTCTTTTCCCCACTGTAGGTGGTTTTTCCATTGACAGCCCCTATTGCCAGCCTCTGAGCGTCGCACCATTTATTATTCACTTGGGCCCTCAAGATTTCTTCTCTGACTTCTAGAACCATCAGGTTGTCTGGCTTGAAATGGCAATTTCTGTGTCTTGGTCCCAAGAGCAATGTGACCCGCTGGGGCTTCCAGCTGTCAGATACGCCACTCTGACACCTTCCTTTGGAACATTCTAGAGAAGAGCAATACTTTACTCAAAGCCACGGTGTCTGTTCTAAAACTTTTCCTTTGGAAACTTAGCAATATCTATACTTAACTCCTCCTAGTGTAGTCTCTTGTCAGGGAGTTTACAAACTAATGTAGAACTTAGAATTAGTGTGTGAGCTGTGCTATACCTTCTGACCGTTTTTAAACTTTTTTAGCACATATATTGGATAGTTGCATTCCTGACTGCGTCAGTTAGCGCTATTATAATTTCTCAGAGATAGGGGTCCTCCTTGAAGCCATATTCTTTGCATGGGGGCTGGTGTCCAGCTGGGGATGTGGCCTGCAGCCTGTGTTCCTTCAGGCTCAGGAGCACCCCCTGTCCTGTGCAAGGTAATTGGTCCAGCGGTTTCCCACATACCTCATGCCGACGCGATGCTGTGCGCGGTGCGTGCAGTTCGGAGTCCTGAGGTCGTCTGCAGTCCTCTCAGTCTGTTCCCGGGGACGAAACGCTGGCAGATCGTGCTGGCATTAACCTTTTCTTCTTTTTTAAAAAATTGGGTGAATGTTTGAAAATCATGAATCAGTCAGTCACCATTATTTGTTGAAGAGCTGGGAATACCTCGTTAATGTATTTTAAACTGGTGTTGGACCCTCTGTGTATTTCAGGTTAATACTTTTAAGCAGTTTTCAGCACGTTTATCTCACTTTATTCTCGTTCTCCTCGGACCTTCGTAGCCATATCACTTGTATAAAATAGGCTGAGATATAGTGACTGTAAGCTGTGCTCTCAGTATACAAAGGTAAGCTCTTTTACTTTCTGATTAAAGAGAAAAGTAATTAAAAATCAATGAACACAACATGCATGCATATATGACAATCATATATGATGTATTTATTTGATCTCTTAGGTCTTATGCCATCACATTACTTTAAAAAGTTTGTATGATCTAAATGTAAAATAATTATTTTCAGCGTTTGTTTTAATACCCTTGTTTGATTACTTTCTATTTAAGAGACATTTCATGTTTGCTGAGTTAAGTGTGTGTGTGTGTAGAAACTTATGATATAACATATATGTGAATTACACACACGTACCTGTTTAAAGAAAAGGATTCTGTGGTGGAAAGAGTTTGCCTGAGAAGATTGTAACGTCAGGGCGCTCTTCTGGCCAAAATGCTGGAATTCCACGAGCAGCAAAGTTGGTGACAGTGCTGGCAGGGCCCGTTTCTATGTAGCTGTTGCACAGGCTGAGGAGCAAAGTGCCAGTTTCTCAGGAGAGAAGTTTCTCTGAGAAATGAAAATCTCTGATCTGTGTTGTGTGCCCTAATACAGCAGCAGCAAGAAGCCATATATATATATATATATATATATATATATAATAAAAAAGCAATAGAAAATGAAAAAAACAAACACCAAAATATTAAGGTAACTATGGGAAAATATGTAATTGACTGAGTTAAGCTAACTATTTGCAGAACCCACTTTGGCAAGACCCAGTCTGCAGAGACCAAATAGACATAAGGCAACTCACCCGTCCTTCTAGGTCAGGTAGCTTGATGATGTATTTCCCACCTCCTTCAGCCATCATGGAATTTACTGAAAAGATGTGAGGGTTACGCCAAATATTTTCACAAGGATTTTCTGCGTTTAGTGTGTTCCATGGATGATTTCTCATGTGTCAGATGTTCTGTGCTAAGGCTGTATTTATATATATATAGATTAAAACGAATTTTATGTTTTATATTTGTCTCTAAGTAGCAGTGTTCTTTTTATTACTAACTTGAAGATTGCTGGAACAACTTTTCTATGCAGAATCTGTATGTACATTGAATGTGGCTTTTCTGTAAAAGGTTGTATGAGATCTAGCTGCCTAGTACCAAGTACGTTCCAGTCCTGATCAAACAGCCGCGTGCCCATTGTGTGCCAGGTCCTTCTCTGGGTGTCAGCAAAACAGAGGTCTGCCCAGTGGAAGCACTTTAAGTCTGAAGAGTCTCCTCGTTGGTGGGATCAGGCCTATTAGGTTGGGAGGCAGATAATGCATTAGCAGTGGCAAAAGGTTATTAATTTATTTAGTAGTTTATTTGTAAATTAACAAAAAGGGCCCTCTGACATCACTAAAATGGGCATTTTTTGGAAATTCACTCATTTTAAGTATTTCCCTGCCAGTTTTGACAGCTTGAAACCAACTCTGATTTATGTTTATGGACCTCTGTGCACGTAAGTGAACTGAATGAAATGAGTAACAAATACCCAAGTCCTTTTAAAGCAGATTTTATAATAGCAAAGAACAAACTGGTTAATTCAAGTACTGACCACATTTTTTTTAAATGACAAATGAGGGGAATTTTATCCTTCTAATAAATCATCATTACTTTCCTGTTTCTTAGATCTTATTAATAACTGCAGTGGATGTGAATTTTCAGTGAGGTAGGGGAATGAACTAAGGAGACTCCCCCTTTTCCCCAGCAGTTAGAATTCGAGCAATCTGGAGCCCTGAAAACCAGGCCATTAAGAACAGTTGAAGCTGAAAACAGCCTGCTCTGTGAACGGCTTTCCTGTAACTGCCGTTGAGCTCAAGCCTGTGCCTCCTTGCTGGGGTGGGGGCGGGGCTCTCTGTAGTCATCAGAACAAGAAAGGTTCTGTTTTATTCAGACTGGTACTGATGCCATGCCACCCAGTGGCCACGGATTGCTCAGTGTTACCAGGAGGCTTTGGAAGGGGGAGATGGGGAGTAAATGAATAACAACTTCGGAGTCAAAAATTGTCTCCCTCGAGGTGAGTTTCCGTGTTGGTGTGTCTCTCTAATGGTTATGTATGGAGCATAGAGCTGGTACTGCTTATATAAGAATGAGCCCCTTCCTTTCCAGTGGCATCTTCTAGAAAGACAGTTTTAAATCAAGAATTCAAGTTAAGTTAGTTGTAAGAATAGATATCCTTTCTCACATTAATCATTTTAGGTAAGAGCTAACAGCTTCCATTGATGCTTG